ATACACATAAAGCAGTTATCCTAGTTATCCAGTCCTGGTCCTTACTTTTAGAGTCCTGTACGGGCAAGTCATCAGGTCAGATGTTGTTAGCGGTTCCCCACACTCATTTTAAAACCAGAGGGGATCGATCATTCCAAGCAGGTGGCACCTAAGCTGTGGAATGCATTGCCTCCCTTTCTACATTGTGAGGATTCTGTCGATTCTTTTAAAATCCAATTGAAGACTCTGCTATTCAAGCAGGCTTTTAGTTAGACGAGGGGTTTTTATGGTTGTTTTTATGTTTCCTATTTGTATTTACATTTTCTTACGTGTTGTATTTTACTTTGTTGTATTGTATCGCATATTATTGTGGAGCACTTTTTTCAGATTTTTATCTGTGAAAGGTGCTATACAAATTTTCTTTTCCAAGACTGGTTCAAACCTAGCTTGAGAATCAGAAATAGAGAAAGAACTTCACTCCCACCATCCGCTGTGCTGTAGTGAAAGCTACATTCCCACATGCCATGTGTTTAAAAACATGTGTGAGTGTCACCCTTGCTCCTCAATTTCCTGTCACCTGTCTGTGTTCTCTCTGAAATATCTGTTTCATTTGTCTTACCATCTCCTCTTGACAGATGAAGGATGCATGTTAGTTTAGTAAAAGAAGAGAAATGCGGCACATTTAATGAGACAGAACATGCAGTCTATAGTTTACCAACATTATTTTGACTTGTGTGGTTGTGACACCCGCAAAGCAATAAAAGGCTTTCAGTGACACTAAAGTTAGCTATTAGACTCACATGTGAATTAATGACATGACAGCATGAAATCCCTCATAGTCTAACGCTCTGCTGAAGAGACCGACAACACAGAGGATTCATCTCTGTCCACTGGCAAGATGTTCACTGATGAGCTGAGTATTAGCATCCTGGATTACAGTGTTATAGTTTCTCACATTCATGGTGGTTTCATAGGCCTTTCCACCCAGCCAGGATCATACTCTAGAGGAAACACTAACAAAGGTTTTGCACTCTTTTGGCACAAATAAGCCAAATTTAAATATACTTAATATTGCAGCAAAGCTTTTAAAATCAGAATTTGGAGGAACTCGTTGAATTTTCTAGCTGCTCTCTGTTCTTCAGCGCTCAGTGATAGGGTAGGATTGTATTGTGGAGGTGGCCTGGATCGTCAGTTTTCAGGATAATGCGAAAGTAGGTGATATGTGACCTGGATACTTGGGCCACCTCAGCTCCTCAGGCAGGATGGGAAAGTATCAAGCAACGATCAAAGCATGAAGGTTAATACTAAAAGTTATTTGAACTCAGAGTGTGCTAATATGTTTTTTTAGGATATAAAATAGCATGTGTATTCAGATTTTTCAGTGTTTTTAGGAGCTGTTGCAATAAAGAAGAGGTGAAGACAAGCTTTGATAGTTGCAGGCTTCTGCTTTACACAGAGGTGTACAAGGTCTTGCAGCAGTCAGTGAGACAATGCTGTTTTCTTCAGTGCATTTGTACAACATTGTACACTACATCATCATTAAAAAAACACCCAGTGAGGAGGGAACATCCATATTCATTAGCAGCAGTTATAGAGTGGGGGATATTGGCTTCTTCTTTTTGTACTGGGTGGGAATGCCCCTCGTTTCTGTGTCGGCTGTGACGTTGATGCTAGGTCACCCTCATTTAGCCTCCCCGAGATGGGGAGTGAAGGTGAGGCTGACAGAGAGGGGAAGGGTGTGTGTGTGTGTGTGTGTGTGTGTGTGTGTGTGTGTGTGTGTGTGTGTGTAGGATGGAGATGCTGTCACATCCCCACCCCCACTTACACACACACACATACGCTACTCCAGAGCTATAAATAGAATGAGAGAGAGCAGCTGGAATGGTAAGTGAGAAACACACACACACTGCATTGAGATGCACATTGATTCCCAGTGTTTTTCCCCCCTCCTAATTCTAGCCCCTCCCTCTTCACTTATTGAATCTACTCCTGGCCATTTCCTTTACAATGCTTCCTACTGCAGCTACTTTTTTTTCTCGTTGATGTGCTGTGAATATACCATAGTCTCTTTTGCAACGACACCAGGGAAAGAGAATCAAAAAAACTACCTCAAAAATTGAGAAAACGATGACTTGGCTTTCAGCATTAACCCCCTTCTCCTCTAAAACAGCATAACAATTGTGCCTTCGCCTCCCGCTTTCTGCCTTGTATTATAATTTTTCCTGACTCCATCTCCATCCTTTTATTCAAATGAGAGAAACCTGTCTCCATTGCCCCTTTTCCTTTGGATACCCTTCAGAGCAGTCCTTGTGGACAGCATACCCATTCACAGCTATAAATAACTCACTCCCACTTTCTTTCTCTCTCTCTCTCTCACTCCTCACCTCCCCTCCACCCAAAACCTCACTCCCTCCTCCCCAACTCCACCACCACCACATCTCTCGCTCATACTCTAGCAAGGCCATTTGCTTCTGGGTTCGCTGTCTGGGGCTCTCCCCTCCTTCTCTCTCTCCGCTGTCTCTGTGGACCTCGCTCCGCCTCACCGGGCCCCAGTTTATAACCTGACAAGCACAAATGTCTGCTCTGCCATTCCCCTCTTCACGTTATACACCTCACATTCATAAAATCCCACTTTGTTTCCAGACAGTCACTGATTTCATGGAAGGTCGGCCTGTCTTTTTTAAAGCATGTGTATTGTGAGTGTACAGCATGGCAGCTGCCAATTGGTCAAAGGCAGAAAGATACATTTGACATAAAGAAAATAGGGTCCAGCCTTAATCTCACTGTAAAATCCTTTTGACAGTAAAAAAATAATACTAGGACACATGTCACATGTGCAACAGCCCAAACACAAATGTGAAGAATCAAGAGCAACACCATGGCACACTTGAAGAGATTGATGCCATTCAATATTTCAGCAATCCAATCTTTTATCTCATCTCTGTCGCTCTGCCCTCACTGTAAAAAGCTCAGCCCTACTTCCCAGAATTAAAAGTTGCTGCATCTATGATGAAGCTGGTGTCAAACATCGGCTTTTTCAGTCTGAGGTCTGTAAGGAGCTCATAACTCACTTTAATACTGCACACCACAAAACAAGGCTAGAAGGATTTTACACTATTGTGTGTCTTAATCTCATTAGTAGGATGTCTAGCTGTCGTACTACAAAAGCATGTACTGTTACACTTTTCCATGTATACTTGTGAGTAGGAGTAAAGCAGGGGAGCAGAGAAGGAAACTATCGAATCTGGTATCCCAACAACTTTGTTTATAAGCACCTACTTTCAAAGCCTCAATATATGTTTTTGTAACATTTATTCAAAAAAAGACATTAAATCACTTTTAAAAAAAAACATGAAATAGTACCAGAAGGCTACTCTTTATTTGTTTAACAGAAATCTGCAAAAAGATCTTACTTTTAAAAGCTGCATGTAGGACTCTCTGGCTATGGCACTGACTCTCTGACTTTTTAATGTCAGCTGTGATACATAATACATCAAGGGGAATATCCATCACAGGATTACTGCATCCATCACAGGTGGATAAAGAAAAGGCCAATATCTATTGCTCACACTCTACCTCTAATGACCACCCTTCTGCCTCTTGTTTTCTTCCTCCAGATACCCCGTCCTGGTCATGGCTGCCCCAGTTCTGCAACCTTCGAGATCTCCGTCGCCGAGCCCAGCTCAGACAGCTGGAAGACTCCAGTGGCAACATGGTCCACATTAAGCAGAAGCTCTACCACAACGGCCACCCTAGTCCTCGCCACCTCTGACTCTAAAAAACAAAATAACAAAAAACCCTACACCCCCTTCCCTAAAAACCTTCTTCTCTCCTCTCCAAAACTCTTTTAATTCCCTTCCAAAACTACCCCATGGCCAACTGTTGCCTCATAGACCCTGGAAAACTGCCCTCCCACTGTTCATAACATGGCCCCCTTAAAACCCCAGACAGGACTTTCTTACGACTAAACCCGGCCCCTGTCAGCACTAAAAAAATCCCAGAATGGAGCAAGATGACGATTATTTGTTGCCACTGAAATCTTGTCTTATGTCCATGTCCACCACTGTGGGAGGAGGGAGAAAAAAAAACATTTTTAAGGGTGTTTTTTCTGTATAGAGACATTTTCTGTGTTCATTGTTAAACTTGGCATGCTCTTTTAGAACAGGGTAAGATGTGGGCAGTGTATGGAACGGGGCGGCAAGACAGGTGTCAGGATATTTTTTTTCTCTATTGGGTGGGAGTGGGACTTTGTTGGCGTGGGGAGGGGAAAATGAAACTGGTGGGTGGTTGGGGTTTTGTGATGGTTAGATTGCTGCTTCTGTAAATAGTGATAAATATGGGCAAGTGGGATTTAACAGTCTTTAAAACGGGGTGCGTGGGGGGATTTTTGTGTGAGTCGTTTATCAATAGAAAACCTAATGATGGACTGTGTGGGTAAAGATTATAGGAATGGAACAGAAAGATGAGTCTTTGAAAACTGGATGTGAAACCATGTGATTTCTGCTAAAAACACAGATTAATTAGCTTTGTTACTTAGTGAATTAACTGAATGTATTAATTTTTCCTGTAAATATGTGAGGGGGAGGAGAGCCTGTATGGTTGTGGTCGGGGTTCTCTTTGCTATATTATCATTCTTTAGCAGACATGGGATGAGAAATAAATGCCAGCCAAGATGAGTCAGTTCAATACACATGCACACACACACACACCCCTCCATCTTCCCCACACTGTGCTCAACAGCACAGTTCAATTTTCTTTATCCAATTCCCTCTCACTTATCAGGAGCAACCAGCCTATCAGCAGAGGGAACCCTCACCCAGCCCCCCCCCGTCCTCTCTGTCCAGACATTGCTGTTGTGAGGATGAAATGTCTGTTTTATTAAAAGTGCCATTGAAGCACAACAGTGACCTCTGATGTTTGATTGTGTCATTCCAATCACATGAGCAAAGATGAGAACACATTCTCCTAGCGAGAGGTTATTTCAGAACAGCAACTACAGACAGATTATACAGAGGTCCTGGTGACAACTTCAGTTTGGTTTATTATAATTCCAGAAATTTCATAAGCACTGACAAACACTTCTGCAATGACTAACAATGCCAATGACATCCTGATGCAACTCAGAAAAGCAATCCACTATTATCCACTGGCACAACAGGACACATTCCAGTGACAGTGAAGGCATTACCTTGGTTTGGTATTCTATAGCAAATACATAATACATTTTCAATCTGCATGGACAGTCCCAAATTACTACCAGTCACAGATATTCACAATATTAATTATTGTTTTAAAATATAAACTACAACTGAAACTGATTATTTTCATTAAAACTATTTAAGTCCCAGCTATTTTCTAGAGCCTTCGACTTTTAATTGTTTGTAGTGTCTGGCCAGCTGTCTGAAAGCCAAAGATATTATAATTAGAGTGATATAAACCTGAGAAAAGGCAAACATCCTCACATTTAAAAAGCTGAAACCAGTGTTAATAGGTAATTAATTACCTATGTTGCTGTTGTCAACTAAACATTTCAGCACTAATACAAACTGTATCAATGTTGGTGCATTTTTTTGTCACCGGGACCAGCAGCACTATGTTTGTATAACACCTGTATGGCTAGTATCAGTAGACAAAACACATATCAAACACCTGATGTAAACTGTTTTATTTGGGAAGCTGGGTTACTGTGGACCTAGTGTCACATAGTGTCCAAACTGCATTTAAATAATGGTCTGGCAGAACCCAGTGATTCTACGTGAAAGGTGCCAAAGTTTTTGTCATGGGCGGGTCTCCATCTGCACCAGCGGTCTTGCTAAGAAGTGCTAGGGAAGAAACGTTCGTAACGAACATTTTGCAGACATGTAATTGAACTCTTGCCAGTCTTACCGGTAACATCCCTTTTCAAAATGTCAAACAGACACAGACTTTGAAAATGGCAACCGTGACCAGAAGAGAGAAAGGTGGTTCACACATCCTTTTACTGAGAGTCCTGCAAACCTAAAGGCCAAAATCAAACTACTACCTAAATTTTGGCATTCACAGTGAGTGAGTTACAAACATTGAGAGCAGACAGAATTCAAGGTGAATGTTTCAGACTTACAGCTCAGGTGTGAATTACAATTCATCAAAGATTTCGAGTGATCATTTTGGACTGGACTTGGCTTCTGGTTTGTCATTGTCATCTCCACTCTGTTTGCTTGAAGGAAGCTTCTCAGTTTGACTGGGTTCAGCTTCTTCAACGCTGGGAGCCTGATAGGCAGCTGACCCCGGACTCTCAAGTTTCTCAGACTGTTTTGACAGAACAGTCTCTGTATCTACCTTGGTTTCTATGTTGGGAACAGCTACTGGGTTCATCTCATCTGTGACTTCAATTACTACAGTCTCTTCCTCCTCTGCAGCTTTTGTTGTTTCGGCCTTAGCTTCCTTGGCAGCAACCTCAGTAGTCTCGGGCAGTTTCAAATCCTCTGTAGCCATAGCATCAGCCTCCTTGATTGTTGGGACTTCTGCTTCCTGGGAAACCTCTGCGGGAGTGACTTTGGCTTCCTTGGCTTTGACCTCTGTAGGTAAAGGCTGACCTTCTGCCGTAAACTCAATGGCAGTCATCTGAGTCTCTGTTGAGATGACTTCAGCTTCCTTAGTAGCAGTCACGGTCATTGCAGGTTCGACCTCCTTAACAACATCTGTAGCAACACTCCCGGACTCCTTGACCACATTTGTCACCACTTTAACCTTTTTAGTAACTTCTGGTGTTTCAGACTCAGTTTCCACTACCACCTCATTTGTGTCCTTGACAACATCCCTTTCTATCGCTTCAACCTCCCTGGTGACCCCTACATCTGTCTCCTCAGTGATGGCTGCAGCAGCATCAGCCGCCTTGGCCACATCAGTTGCTTTTGCTTCCGCCTCTTTTACAGTGTTTGCCAAGGACTCAGTCACCTGAGCTACATTGTTTGCAATTTCCTCTGCAACCTCTGCAGCATCACTTACTGCTTCCTCAGCACCCTTAGTGGCTTCAGTTTCTACACCATCAACGGACGTGGCTGCTGACTCAGTCTCCTGGACAACAGTCTCCTGGAAGAGTTTGACTACTGTAGCCTCTGACTCCTGGATGACATTAGATACAACGGCGTCCAATTCCTTCTGCTGAGCAACAGCAGAGACTGTCGTCTCCAGGTGTGCAACAACATCCTGTTCCTCCTTGACTATTTCCGTGGCCTCAGTCTCTTGTGCAGCTCCATCAGTAGCTGGCTCTTCTTTACTTACAGCAGCAGTTTCTTGGATGGTGGAAGCTTCAGTCACTATATCCTTCACCTCAGGAACAACAGTGTCTGTAGCTACAGCTGTGCCTAGAACCTCCTCAGTCAGCTCCTTGATGGCCTCAACCTCCTGCACCAACTGAACAGCAGTAGCTGTCTCAACAATGGTTTCTACTGTTCCTCCAGTTGTCGCAGCAACAACTTTACTTTCTTTAACCAAAGTGGCTGCCTCTTTCAGTATAACTTCTGCCTCCACTTCTGACGGCAGAGTGGCTGCTTCTGCCGGTGCAGCGTTGCTCACAACCTCAAGCATTGGAAGGACTGGTGGTATGGTCGGGGTTGTAGCTTCGGATTGTGCAAACGAAGTGGCTTCCTGAGCTGTGATTCCGGCAGCCATTTCCTTAGGGAGGAGTACGCCAACCTTGCCAACCCCCACACCTGCTTCCATCAGCAGCCAGTCCATTTTCTGTGCATGCTGCTTGATGGCATCATCTACTCTCGAGTCAATCATCGCTTCAGTCAAAACTCCATCTTCAGAAGAGTATGCGGCAGCCTTCAAGGAAAACAAATTTTTTAAAATGCTTGGCTTTGGATTTGTTCTTTGTAATGATTAGTCATTTCTAAGCAGATTCATATTTTGTTTCAACAGGCTTTTCTACTCACCTGCCAGGCCACACCAAGTTTGGATATTTCACGGCCAGACATGCCTTCTGCTCGCTTTGCAATGTCTGAACACTTCAGGCCATAGTCAAACTGAGCCACCTTTAATCTCCTGCAGAGTTAAAGCATAAAAGGTTTGTACAGTAAGTAAGCCATAAGCTTTAACTTGTTTCTTATTCACTGATTATCTGTACATTTACTAGTTTTAACTGACCAATGCACTCTGCAACAGCTTCTGTACTACACTTCCTGAGGATTTAAACACCATTTCATGAAAGCAATAAGTAAAGACTCAGACACCACTTTGGTTTCAGGACTGAATATTATATACACCATTATGCAACTTGAGCTAGCAAGGCGGCCTCTAGGGAGCAATGCTTTCCTTTACGGCACTAAATCACCCCTGGTACGAAGCAGCAACTGTAGCTGTTAGTGATATACAATAAGTGTACTTACTGTCTCCCTGTAGTGGCAGGACCCAGCACAAATTTGTCAAAATACAGGCGCACCAATCTTTCTCTCTCTTCCAGACCGGGTATCGCAAAGTTTACAATCTCATCAATGCGATCATTAATGGCCCAGTCAAACTGTTCTGGCTGGTTACTAGCAAGCACCAGCATGAACCTGAGGAGAGAAAAGAACACAGTCATGGCAATGACCTTTTCATGTCCAACGATGCACAATAATGTAAGACACCAACTTGTTGCTCTGCTCCCCAGTGCGGTAGAGGAATGCATTGAGGGTGGCTCTGAGGTCCTCACTGATTTTCTCCTGCAATGCAAAAATCATGACTCATGAATATATGATTAAAACACAGGGCACCATCACCATGCATATGGCACTGCAGCTGAACTCACTGTGGCTCGCTTTCGCAGGAACGCATCAGCTTCATCTACAAACAGCAAGACACTGCAGAGAACCAGAGAACATCAAAGAGAATGAGCTTAAAAACTAGAGCTTTTTAATTAGCCAGGAGAATCACAGCAACTAAGTATGTAACCCGACATTCAGTGTAAACTATTAAACTTTCAGAGTCAAGATTAAACAGCTGATACACTTTATAGTACTTATAGTGTTAATGGAGCAAATAAAAGTGCCCTACCCTCGCCTACTGGTGCTGGCCCAGTCAAACACTTTGTGCATGGCAGTGACTCCATCACGCCCCATGGGTGCCACGTCCCCACCTGTCATAATGGCATAGTCCATCCCTGAATGGAGAGCCAGTTTCTGAAAGGCAGTGCAAACAGCTTTGTTCAAAAAACGAACATAGAAATGCACAACCGTCTTTAAAATGTTACATAGCAAACTAAATATATAGAAAGTTTACTGGCTTTACGACTGCACTCTATGCATGTATGTACTGTATCTATAAAGCATCAAAGTAGTATCTAAAAATTGTACCCTAATAGTTTAAATACTGTTATGTACAATATATACATACATATTTTAAAGTGATATCTGTAAGATCTGTAAAGTTATGTAGTGAAATGTTTCCTAATCAGCCATTTCTGTGGTGTTTTCTGCATTCAGCCATCACTGCGCATGCTAACGGTCCAGTTATCTTTCTATAAATTCAAAACAAACCAGAAATGCATTACATTAAATGGCAGAGATTAGGCCACAATATGTAAAGACTTTCAAGAATCGGCTACAATAGGTTGGACGAATACTGTATTATGTAAATCAGCAGTAAAATGTAGCAAAACACGCCATTTTTTAATAGAAAACGTCACTGTACTAACCCTCGACTATCTACTGAAGTCATAATTAACTTTTAAAAACACAAAAAGAGAAAGAAATTCAAAATGTGTTTGACTGAGCTATACCTTGGCAAAGAGTGTTTTTCCAGTTCCAGGGGGTCCATACATCAGGATGTTTCTGTACAAGCCTTTGTTCTGCCTGGTGTTACGCGTGGCGATGGCAATGTCCCTCACTCGTTCCTCCAAACCTGCCTGTGTATGCAGAGGTTACGATCTTATGTGTGTTCTATAGAACATTCTTTTTTACAAAGTCATAAAAAGTTACATGAACGTTAAATTCAATTCAATACAACAAAACCCATGAATAGTAAATGACTCACATTGAGCACCACGCCCTCTAAGGCATCCTGCGGTCGGCTTCTCAGACGCTTGGCTGTCTAAAGATGAAGAAAACAGAGGGAATTGCGAAGTGACTTTTTTTTAGCACCAATTATTTTCACATTTAAAAACTAGTCAAGGAATTATGTCTGAGCGCTTATAAAAACCATTCTTAGTATTTTGTCATATTCTACAGAAAAGCTGCATAATTTTAACACTTTATCACCAGTGACTCTTTTGCTCTGCTACAGATTCATTTAAAAATTCAGTTTCTTGTGAAAAATAACCAAAGAAATCCTGAAAATTACTACTTTGAACATTCATTTTGGAGTCTGAGAAACACAATTAAAGTACTCATTCATTTTACACACTTCATTGGTATAACATATAGCATGTTTTAAGTGTTTGCTATTTTCACGCAACATTCTGAAATTCTCTAAAATTCTGTCCCTTTGGCAGGATTAGCTGGATGTGCTGCAGACGATACATGAATAAACAGTTCCATTTAAACAATCTCATCAGAAAATGAATTTGATGCGCTACCAGCTGTTACAAGCTGATGTCATAAACCTCAATTACTGTTATTTACGAACAGTGGTTCCCAAAAAAGTGTAAAATAACCCCTGTATAGAACACATTTCATTTCCATATAAAGCTGCCTCATTAAAATATACTATTACACACATCCTGCATGTATATCTTGTGTAGATGATGGTAGTTTGATTTTATCAACAGGCGACCAACCACACAAATAATAGTATAAACATGAAAACTGGGTTGTAGTTTGACCTTGATTGGGTGTTTGAGGGCCTCTGCAACAGTTAACCTGGATGTCTCCCGGACCAGTGAGGGTTTGCCCAGACGTGCCTCTACGTAGCGCCCAGCCACCGCTGTGGCATTCCTGGAAGAATACACCCCTGCTGCCAACAGGGTCAAACCAGCCACCTGTGAATGGCAAACCAGCACACATACACATCTTCAAACAAAGTGTACGGCATATAAAATATAAACACCACTGCTTTCCACAATCCTCTGCTGTCCTGCTGCGGTGAAAGTGTGACAGGTCTGACGTGGATTTACCGTGGCTGTGAGTTTGTCCCAGTCGGAGATGAAGGCCCTAAATCCCTCCCCAAACACTGCTCCTGCCGTCCTGCCAGGAACAAAACACAATTATCACACTTACTGCCTCCACTGTGGCAGCCACACTCCCTGCCACCCTCTGGGATTTTTGTTTGACAGCTGAGAGAGAGACTAGGAGATAACATGCCAGTTATTCTGAGGATTAAGGAAAGTGGAAAGTCATTTTGTCCTCACTTTATAGATTCAAGGACAGTTTGTCTGTGTTCAGCAGCTTTCAGGCGGATCTGCTCCCTGATCAGGTCTGCATTCTCCCGCTCCACCTGGGCACGGGCTTTGGCCTCCGCCTCAACACGAAGCAAGTCATTCTTGTGTCTCAGCTCCATTTCATGTTCAATGGTAGCTGGGAGGAAAAGAAGGAGATATTAATAACTACATGGATGTGACCACTTCTGACAGGGCTGAGCGTTTGACCTACTTTAAATCAGTGTGCTTTAACTTATTATGACACTTTGAGAAAACTAGACTGAACTGATTTAAAGATAAAGTACTGTACTTGTTGGCTCTTCAAATGCGGAAATCCTATGTATTTTGCACTGAAGTGGTTGTTAAGTAATATATGATTATCATAGCCTTACAGTGGCCTGTAACCTTTTCCTGATAATGGCATACCTTTTGATATAAAATGTTTCCATAGAAATGAAAACAAATCTACTGAATTATTGGTCATTTTTGGTGACTGTTTTAAGTAAACCTTTTTTCCTTGTCTCTTATTCTGTTCTATTAATGTCTCTGTCTGCTTCTGTTTATTTCTGTGTGTAACTGGGCATTGGGCATCAGTCAACCTACTATCTGAAATTTAAAGCAGCAGAATTATTTTTTGGCAACTTGGCGGCTGTGGAACCAGTTGTAAACATGACACCTGTAACGGAGTCAAGCGGGAACCTCTGGGTCTGAAAAGCCAAAGTGGAAGTGCCTTAAACATGCATTCTTTCAAATGGCCTGCAGGGGGCGACTCTACTGGTTATAAAAAAGAATGATTGATTGAAGTCTGATTGCTTTAGACTTAATGGCAACACTGTGTACATTTGATACAGCGTATCTAATTATCTTATTAGGAGTCAGCTGTTAATTTTTCCACTAAACATATTTTCTTTTATACTTGCTTTTCGCTAGCCAAAATGAACATCCCAGTTAATATCACAGTTAATGTGAATGACTGATGTGCCTTGCTAACCAAGCTACGTAGCTAGCTCCACCCGCTCTTCAAAATATGATCACTTCTGGTCACATCTGGTTCAAAAAAACCAAGATGGCAATGGCCAAAACGCCAAACTCGAGGCTTCAAAACGGTAGTCCACAAATCAACTGGTGACATCGCAGTGGTTACGTCCATTTCTTATACATGCAGGGTACATGCAGCAAACAGCACCAGCATGGACACTGTGACCTATCTGATTTGTTTTTGTTATTATTTGTTGTATTATTTTTATTTTATTTGTACTGTCGTTGAATCCACCCCTTACTACCCACTTAATAGGCCCCTGCGAATGTGCTAGCAAACAGTTGCCTATTTACACATCCAGTCACGTTTTTGGTGACATAACGAACGTACATCCAATATTCACTCTCCTTTTAGTTTGGTTTCGGTCTCCACCATCTCCTGAGAAAACATCTGTCTCTTTAGCTGCTAAATGCTACACTGTGTTCACCAGCTAGTCGCCAACTTTGCCAGTCTGCAGTTTAGAGCTGGGCAGTAAATACTGTTGATTTATCAGAGCTTGAGCGTGTAACCAAGTAGTAAAAATAAAGTTACCAAAAGAAGCTAAAACTTCTGCAGAGTTGAGAGACACTGCAGAGTCGGGGGATATTTTCTGTGGATGTTTCAATAAGAGCGACACTTTTTACACAACACATAGTAATTTCATACATTGTTAATAAAGAAATATTGATTAGTGCTGCTTTAAATTAATATTTTCTTCATAAGGAAAAAATCCTTAACGTAGAACTGAAGTTTTTTTTATATCAAATACAATATATGATATATATATATTTTGACGATCATTACTGTATGAACGCCTACACAATTTATTCATTTACTTATTAAGCCACCAAAAGCTATTTGTGTCTTTGTTTTTTGTAGTTTAAAGGAAATAAGAATTAGTTAAAGAGGTGGTATTATGCTCACTTTCATGTTCAAAAATCCTATTTAGGGGTTGTACCAGAACAGGTTTACATGGTTTCATTTTCAAAAAACACCATATTTTTTGTCATACTGCACATTGCTGCAGCTCCGTGTTGAAGGCTTTGTTTTAGCTATGGAGTGATACAGTGGATAGAAAAAGTCTACACACCCCTGTTAAAATGCCAGGTTCTTATAATGTAAAATAATGAGACAAAGATAAATCATGTCAGAACCTTTTCCACCTTTAATGTGACCTATAATGTGAACAATTGAAATTGAAAAACAAACTGAAATCTTTGAGGGGGGGAAAATGAAAAATAAAAACCCTCAAATAACCTGGTTGCATAAGTGTGCACACCCTTAGACTAATACTTGAAGCACCTTTTGGGGTTATATTACAGCAGTCAGTCTTTTTGAATAGGAGTCTATTAGCATGGCACATCTTGACGTGGCAATATTTGCCCACTCTTCTTTGCAAAAGCGCTCCAAATCTGTCAGATTGCGAGGACATTGCCTGTGCACAGCCCTCTTCAGATCACCCCACTGATGTTCAGTTGGATTCAGGTCTGGGCTCTGGCTGGGCCATTCCAAAACATTAATCTTCTTCTGGTGAAGCCATGCTGTTGTGGATTTAGATGTGTGCTTTGGGTCGTTGTCGTGCTGAAAGATGAACTTCCTCTTCATCTTCATCTTTCTAATGGACGCCTGAAGGTTTTGTGCCAAAACTGCCTGGTATTTGGAACTGTTCATAATTCCCTCCACCCTGACTAAGGCCCCGGTTCAAGCTGAAGAAAAACAGCCCCAAAGCATGATGCTGCCACCACCATGCTTCGCTGTGGGTATGCTGTTCCTTGGGTGATGTGCAGTGTTGTTTTTGTGCCAAACATACCTTTTGGAATTATGGCCAAACAGTTCTACCTTGGTTTCATCAGACCATAACACATTTTGCCACATGCTTTTGGGGGACTTGATGTTTGTTTTTGCAAACTTCAGCTGTTCTTTGTAATCAAAGGCTTCCGTCTTGCCACCCTACCCCATAGCCCATTCATATGAAGAATACGGAGATAGTTGTCACATTTACCACATAGCCAGTACTTGCCAGAAATTCCTGCAGTTCCTCTAATGTTGCTGTAGGCCTCTTGGAAGCCTCCCTGACCAGTTTTCTTTTCGTCTTTTCATCAATTTTGGAGGGACGTCCAGTTCTTGGTAAAGTCACAGTTTATATATTTTCCATATTTTCTCCACTTGATGATGACTGTCTTCACTGTGATTTCAGTTTGTTTTTCAATTGAATTGTTCACATTATAGGTCACATTAAAGGTGGAAAAAGTTCTGACATGATTTATCTTTGTCTCGTTATTTTACATCATAAGAACCTGGCATTTTAACAGGGGTGTGTAGACTTTTTCTATCCACTGTACATCTTGTCTCTAAATGATCTTTGTTGGGAGTTGCACATGCGCAGTTCCTAGTTAAGGAATACTAGCAGTAGTAGTAGCAGCCGGTAAACAGCTTCGATTCAGCTGTAGGCTACTTGTTGCCAACCAGCTTGGCAACATGGACTGGAGCAAGAGTTTCAGAGTGGTGAGTTATTAATCTGTAACAAAAGTATCTTTCATCCATAAAGTTTTAACTGAGCTCTGTCTCTACATCACAGGAACAACTTTATGTCCACTGACTGCCTGGAGGGTAGCTAGTGTTTGGAAGGGAGAGCAGAGCTGTGTGCTGCAGCTCACTGTTTTTCCACCGGTGTTTTTGAGGGCGTGTCGGACTAGCCGCTTGGTGAGCGTTATATGAGGCGCATTTAGCTGCATTCGTCACAGGGATGAAAGGGAAGCGGCTGGACTACAAACGAGCTGTTTTCAGGCAGTTCAGAGCAGAGCTTTCTGTGGGAAATGGGAACTCCCTTTGGGCTGGACTTTGGGCTGGACTTTTCACTTTGCAAACCTGTTACATGCACAAAAAAAGATATATAACTCAATAAAGCAGAGGGAAAAAGCCAAAAAGCATAAAAACCACCTCTTTAAATATAATAATATATTCTGTGAGTGTCTTGAAACTCCACTGGGATGGAAAGTTTTCTTCCAACACAGAGTACAGACCCAAGGGAGACTTTAAAGAGCCACAAATCTCACAGTGAGCCATGTAATCGCTGAGCGATCTGTACTGATCAACAAGCTTATTGACCCCTGCAGATATATTATGGCCATTATTTGCTTTGTAGAAGCACAAATCCTAGTTATTGCTTTAAGTTGGGTAATAAAGTCATGTTTGGAGTGAGTGAATAATGTGTAAAGGCACAGGTGTATTTGGTTGTATCTTCTACCTTTTCTCATGGCCTCTTGCTTCATAACTGATTCTTCTTGTTTGCGAAGGTTCTCCTCATTGAGGAATTGCTGTGGGTAAAAAACACATGATGAACGGTTAATTCTGATATTCAGTTCCATTCTGGTGTTCAAGTGTACATTTAAAAGGTTTACCTGTTGCCTGAGCTGATCATCATACCTCTGTCTGGCAAGTTTGTCTTGATACAGTGCTCGCTAGAGGTGAAATAATGAATTACATCCACATGTAAAATTCTGTATATATTACTTTAGGTGAATCTTTTGTCAGAATAGCATGGTGTGGACAATGTTGATTCCATACTGCATGGTTTTGCTTTGTCTCCTCTCCAAGTGTTTTCCGTCTCTCCTCTCCCTGGAGGTGGATCTGCTCACCCTTCAGCTGCTCCAAAGCGGCCTCATATTCCTGTTGGGGAGTCTGTGTTATGTTTTCTGACATAATGGATTTGGTAGCTACCTCTTGTGAACACACAGTATCAGTGGATCACACAATCACATCAAAGGCACCTACTTTCACTTTACTCTGATGCTCCAGCTGTGAAGTCTGCTCCTGCATTTGAGCCAGTGCCAGCGCTTCTTTGGCATGTCCTGTTGAAAAAAAATTAGGAAAGAATTATGCAGCTTTATTCATTTAGCTACTCAGATTTTAACCACTAGGTGAATTATAGTTACACTTGGTGGGTTTAATATAGGCTTACAGCCACCACAAGATGATGCGCCTGTTTGTCAGTGTGGGAGAGCATAGCAGAAATCTAAAAGGTGAATTAAGTGACCATTGCGTTTGACAGGCACTAGGTAAAAATGCCCCCATATATTGAACAGCAGTAAACATGTTCATCTGCACATGCTGAAATGAAGGGAATAGACAGGTGATGGCTGAGCTCGCTGGGACACTTTGTTCCTTCTTAGCTCCCTGACACGCCCACCAAAACAACTTCGCTGCAGACTGAGGTCAAATATGCAGGCACACGTGTGGGATCTTTAGACTTAAGAATTGACTTTCTGATAAAGTTAACATACATCACATTAAGGCGGAACATATTGGGATAAAACTGCCATCCTACGGTGTTTTGGAGGTAAACCAGTTTTAAAAGTTGAAACAAAAACGTGCTGCTGTGACAGGTGTGTGGCGAATTAAAGAATGACACCCGACAGTTTAGCAGTGTTCATACAACATGATGCTCGAAGTGCCCACATTTGCCAGTTGGACGCTGAACTTTCAGCTTAACGTTTTGTTTGGATTTGTGAGGGAGTCTCGGCCGAAAAGAACAGAACGTGCCAACATGCGACAGTAAAAAAAAACACTGGACTTCAAAATAGCACTGACTTACAGATAACAAGTACTTTTGTAAGTTAAAAATTAGTACGCACGTGATTTGTCGAGCTCCCTCGCAGCTTTTGCAGCTCTCTCAAGTCCTGTCGGGTCAAAGTTACTCCACCTATCCCCGGGTTTGTCTGCAGCTGCTGTGGGCGGCGGCGCGGAGCCCTTCCTCCAGCCGAAGAGCCACGACATGCTGCTTCTGTACTGTAGTTTGAGTTACAGTGGCTCCACGGTGGTAATCCAGCTAGCACATGATTTTGGACCAGAGTCTAAAGTGAAAGACAAACTTCCGGTCATAACCTTCAAAATAGAATAGGCCTACATATGATATTCAAGTATTGACGAATAGAATAGCCTTCTGCAACATTTTATACAAGGTGAAGTGGAAAACCCCCAGGAGTGTGTGAGCAAGGAACTTAACACTCAGTTGCTTCACGGGGATTGTCCCTTGATTCTCACTTGTTAATTGCTTTGGATAAACACGTCCCTTAAGTGAATAAATTAAAAGAAAGAGGAGGAGCTTGATCAAATCTCCTTTTTATTGTGACTTGTGTGGCCTGTTATTTATACCATATGTCCGCAACAAAAAAAATACAGCATTAACATAAAGAATAAGAAGTCATGGTCATCGTTTAGCTGACATATTGATTTTTTTTAAATTCTGAAAATATGAAAAATTAAAATCACTGTAGGCTTTAAAGTCCAGTAGACCCATGCTTATTGCTTAAACCAGGTATTATGTGAAGTGCATGGAGTATTTATTTAATTTATGTGACTGATAGATGGGCTCACACAGTTTTACCATTCAGAATGAAATAAATAACATAAGAATTTTTTTCTATTGGGAAAACTGGGGGGCAACATTGTCTATTTAAAGGTCTGAGCCAGGGAAATGTTTGGGCAGCCCCATAGGCTGAATAGACCAATACCACAGATGAGGTGTGCAATCTAATTTGGAGATTCAGTGATTAATTTTATTGGCCATGTTAACAATATAAACACTTAGCTCATATCTCTTTTATTTGCCTTTAATAAGTGAACTTAAAGCAAAAGTGATTACTTTGTTTTAAAGAATAAAGTATTTCCATGGCAGAAATTGGAGTAGTGCAGCAGAACACCACCCATCATATAGGCATATGTTTTATATATAAAAAAATGGGTCAAGGACATATTGTGTAACAATACATGCCAAGTATGACACAAAACTCATAGAACTTCATTAAGATTGCCTGAAAAGAGACAAAGAAAGACATTAATAAGAAAACAAAATTACATTTTCAAAATATTTTACACATACATACAATACATTCAGTAAAGTGTTTAAAAATATGTATTTTAAAATGACTTCCCTATATTCAAATAAAAAGGACTGGGAGATTTGGTCAGAGCAAAATTATAGTCGATTCGCGTAACCCAGTAAAAACAAATTGCACAGTACCGGCATAGCACTGAATGTTTTCTGTTATTAGGGATACATAACTGTCCCTCGTTTACAGTAATGACAGTTGTGAAAGAGGCTCTTCATATGGTGCCTTCAGGTACTGTCGGATGTTTAGTTATTTATGAATAAAGTGTACATTTACGACCAATGGGGCTAGTGTTATTTTATAAGGACACATAGTGCCAAATTCATGCTTGTTGCTCAGTTTATTCTTACTCGTCTCCAGCTGCCGCGCAAAATATCTGCTTGCCTGTTTGTGGTCTAGCAGACGGATGGGTGAGAGCCGGGTTACACCGGGAGTGCTTGAAGGCAACAACCATGACACGCTCCCTTACGTCACGTGAATACACGTAGAGGGCGGAGCTTATGCTTACAGTTGTTGAAACCTAAAGTGAGCTACCCCGTCTTTTCTGTAGGGCAGTGTGTAACGTTAAGCCACAAACACATCAAGTTATAAAGATGTCGGCAGTTTGTGTTGCCTTGAGTCGAAATGTTTTGGCTTTAAGGAATTCAGGAATGATGGTGGTAAGTAGCCTACAAAACAATTTGTATTTGATTTATAATAGACATATTATAGACTCATGGGTTAATAAATGTGTAACCTATGTTAACTAATGGGCTTTTGTGTTGATTGATTGACTGTTAAAGTTCTGCAAGGCTACACAATACCATCTAACGCTTTGTCATTAAACGGAGTGTAATGATACACCCTGCTCCCAGGCTGTATGTTTGTGAAGGCTAAATGTGACAGAATATTGAATAAACCTGTTCTGGCACTCTCTGCTTCAATGTGTGAATGACATTAGAAGAACTTAACATTAAGCAAAACAGTTCACGTTTCATTGTCAATATAATAAATGCTCAGTAATTTATGCAGTGTGAATGAGCTGAGCTGTTGTGCAACTCCTCCCTCCTATTTTATCAAGTATGGTTGTTTTTAGCAGGTAAGGTACACAAACACCTGTTTACTTTTCATAACTATGTATTAGATAGTTATTGTTAAGCAGCCTAAGTTATTGTGCTTAAGTTTATCTTCCATTGACCAAACAGTCAGTTAGGTAAGCGACGACTTCACAGTGATATAACACTTTCATGTCAATTCATCCAAACTACCACTAGAGGGAGACTCGACACCTTCTCATGCAAAACGACAGGCTCGAGACAGTGATCATTTCTAACCTGAAAGTGTATTGTATTTATTACATTTTACAAAATATATTATGTTTTGTAATACTTATTAAATGTTTTTTTGGGAATGATTTTATTATTTTGTTATTTTGATGTTATGGTACCTTTGTTTTATTATGTTAGTTTTTCTCTTCATTCTATTGTAAAATACAGATTGTTAATTTTTACATTTGTTGTTGTTTGTATGAGGTGATGTATTGACAATAATAGTATCCTCTGGTGTTGTGTGATAGAGTTACCAAGTGCTTCCTGTTTTAGCCATGGTTAATGTTCCTTTTGTACATTACAGGCCTTTCTAGTCTTTGCGACCACTCAAAGCACTTTTACAAATAGAAACCTACATTCATACACACATGAACAGACTGGTGGAACAGCCGCCAGGGGCAATTCAGGGTTCAGTATCATGCCCAAGCACACTTTGACATGCAGTCTGGAGGAGCTGGGATTGAACCGCCAATGTTTCAATAAACAGGCAACCTGCTGTACCTCCTGAGCCACAGCTGCCCCTCTTGCTTCTATTGCTTTTGTACTCTTATCTGAAAGAAAGTGCTGTAGTTATGCCATGAATTATGCCTACTGTAGATTTACTTCTCTGTGATTCAAATAATCTGTGATACAGATGGTGCGGTACGCTCAGACTGCCGCTGCCCCGGCTCCTGAACCCAGGGTCAAGAAGTTCCAGATTTACCGCTGGGACCCTGACACCACTGGAGACAAACCACGAATGCAGACGTATGAAATTGATCTCAACACGTAAGTCATGACCGCGTCCATGAACACAAAATATTTTATAGTATTTTCCTTTTTACGTTAACATACTCAATGTCATAATGTATTGACATGTTTCTGTAAATATAGCTGTGGTCCAATGGTTCTGGATGCCCTCATTAAGATCAAGAACGAGATTGACCCCACACTCACATTCAGACGCTCCTGCCGTGAGGGTAAGAAACAAAGAACTTCTTGATTCATCTTGCTGGTAATATAATAATTGTATTGTCTTGCATTTCAACATGATTTTGTATTTCTCTAGGTATCTGCGGCTCATGTGCCATGAATATAAATGGTGGCAACACACTGGCATGCCTTAACAAAATTGACACCAGCACAAGCAAACCGACCAAAATATACCCGCTCCCACACATGTATGTGGTCAAGGATCTGGTGCCTGTAAGTACTGCAAGTGTAGAATGTGTATTTCCATGGCCATATTAAAAAGGGTATAGCACAGGTTCATGAGCACAAGAGCAAAATGACAATAAAATGAGAAGATAGCATGAATTTAAAAGGAATAATAGAGTCATATATGGTGCATTTATTAGTTGTTTGGGTGCCTGTAATGAGTTCTCCCTGGTATGATTTCCACCAGGATATGAGCAACTTCTATGCACAGTACAAATCCATTGAGCCCTACCTGAAAAAGAAGGATGAAACTCGAGAAGGAAAGGAGCAGTATATCCAGTCCGTGGAGGACAGGCAAAAACTGGTAAATAAACCAAATTCTTACTGTAACAATTAACAGACCTCCCACATCCATCAGCCATATTAGAGATGTTCATATTTTGGACATAGTTCATCACTAGGATTTTTTTTAAAGATATAACAATTTTAATGATGGCATTATGAATTGCCTGTTCGTCATACAGGACTACAGAGACTCTCAGAATAAGCTGTTCTTCTTAACCCAACAGGACGGCCTGTATGAGTGCATCCTCTGTGCTTGCTGCAGCACCAGCTGTCCCAGCTACTGGTGGAACGGAGACAAATACCTGGGACCTGCTGTCCTAATGCAGGTGGGTAAAGACACTTTGACAAGAATAAAAGTCCAGAGCCACACTAGGGGTCTTGTCAGGCTGTAATGAATATTCCAAACCAGAAACCAAAATTATTGGGTGAAAGAAAATAGTGAGGCACATAGGAAGTTTAGTCTGAGGGTGGTGCCAGAGTAAAGGCCAAATTGTATATTTAATCAGATGGTGCACTTTAACAGCCTCAGCTGTACTAAGGCTCAGCTGTGCTTTGAGCTCCTGCTTGCTGATGTTAAGAGTTTGTAAATCGACTATGTGGTGATGTGATTTGAGGCATGTCAGTTCATCTCAGTTCCTCTAAAACTCATCATGCATATTTGGCGGTTTAAGAGGAATAATGTCATGAACTGAAGTGGTACACGTGTGGGAAATATGACCTGGCAGTGATCTTTCCAAATTTCATAGTAATCCATTAAATCAATGAAGACATTTCATTCTGGTGTAAATTTTTTCTACCAATTTACCAACACTAATGTCCCAACAATGTGACCACTCATTGAAAAAGGATCATAAAACTTAAGGTTCAGATCATTTAATAGCTTTGAGTCACGGATTGAAAGTCAGGGTTAAATTGATTTTAAAATGCTCTACTTTGACTCTGATGTAGCCCGCCCTCTCTGTCTGTAGTTACCACACTGTGTCAAAGGGAAGTGTACAGATATTAGAGAAACAGCAAAAAACATTTTTCTGTGATGACAAGCATGCACAGTGTCCCGGTAACACCAACATTTAAAATATATACAAAAATGATTCATGTTGGAGCAAACAACAGATAACAACTGTGTTTTTATCCCACAGGCATACCGGTGGATTATTGACTCCCGTGATGAATTCACTGAGGAACGTCTGTCTAAACTTCAGGACCCCTTCTCACTCTATCGCTGCCACACTATCATGAACTGCACTAAGACTTGCCCCAAGGTACATCCACACACAAACACACATTATCGCACAGAGTTCATAGAGTTTTTGTTTCTCACTGTCCGTTTGACACACTTATCCATACTGCTCCACAGGGACTCAACCCAGGAAAGGCCATTGCACAGATCAAGAAAATGATGGCAACTTACAAAGAGAAGAAAACAGCAGCTTCATGAACATCTGAAAACCCAGCAGGTTCAAGATCCCCTCATAATACCTTCAACTAAGTTAAGAGGAAGAGAAAACCAAGCAGGAACTTTTGCCTGCATCAGCAACTTTCATTAATATCGTGACTATGAGTGAGGCAACACATTGGACCACTATTTATCTGTGAATGTGAAACTACTAGGGTCTGTTGTACTTACTACTTAGGAATAGCTCATGAAATTGTATTCAGACTTTAACGATTTAAATATGTGTTGTGTATGTGCTGGATTCATTATCAAGGTGAAATATATGTTTTTGAATGAGGAAAGAACACATTACCCATGTTGATCGCGTTTATAATTTACATTGCAATAACCTATATTGAAGGATCTAATGAGACATTTTTAATTGCCAAAAAAGACTTCACACAAAAATAAACAGCCCTAAATAACAAGATACTTTCATTTTATGACATTATTTTATTTGTTACGAGATACCAACTTATTTTGTTCGATCATCAAATCAGAGTTCTCACTTAACATTTATTATCTTAGATATATAAAATACTTTGGTGTGATGTTATGATAATACACTTCCATATGTTGTTGCAATAAGAACAAGATCCAGTCAGCCTAAAGAGAAGAAGCTGATGATGGCTCTGTTCTATTTAAGTGTCCCCGCAAGTCGTGAAAGTGTGACATTGGGATTGCATGCACAATACAATCAGTCTAAAAAAGAAGGATCTAAATGGAGCACATCCAACTGACAACCAACTGCTCAACGTCAGCAAAACCAAGAAGCTGATCTTTGATTTTTAGGCAAAATGAAACAAAGACACTCTCCTGTCTACATCAGGGGAACTTAGTGGAACCCTTATAGGTTCATGGAAATCAGCTGCACAGACACGGCCCTCACACATCTCCATGGCAGTGAAGAAAGCTCAGAAATGGCTCTATTTCTTAAAGATACGAAAGAGAATTAACTTTTACAGAGTAATAGAAAGCATCTTGACTGGAAACATCACAAACTGGCATGGGATGTGCACGGCAGGATGGCTCTGCAGACGGTGATTAAAACTGCTCAGAAGACCATTGATACTGTTGATGATAAGTCCTTTTCCATCAGTACCCATTTCCCAAGCATCAGTGATGTCAGTGAGGTGAGGTGCCTGCAGAGCCCAAAGCATACTAAAACACAGTACCCACCCAACCACAGCCTGTTTAAACAGCTGCCATCTGGCAAGACATGAAGAAGTATACTGTCGTAGGCCTACCAGACCTAAGAGCAGTTTCTTTTTCCAGGCTGTGAGACTCCTAAATTCATCTTCACTGCACCATGTAAAATAGTTTTATTTACCTATTTACTAGGCCTAGGCTATATAATATTTGTACATAGCCTAACGTTTGCCTTTCTGTGAGTAGTACAAATGGATACCACAGTTTATCTCATCATACAACCCTCTGTTTCAAAAGGATAAATAAATCTACCTTGTTGAATTATTTGATTGTTTTATTAGTATTTCATTATCACCACTACCGTTACTCTTATTTAACATCTGGAACTTTGAATTCTCTTTCCTCCTGCTCTTACTGGCACTTTACAAAAAATAACCGACCAATAGCAATATGTGTGGTTCAATAGTATTCTGATAGAGAATGTTGAATCAAACTAAGGTTTTAAGTCTTTGTTGGGAAAAATGCAATTTTGAAATATCGTGTTATGTAGAGAAAATAATCAGCAGGCTGAAATTAGCGTGACGACATTTCTACACATGGCACGCTTGTGACTATTTTGGACCGCGTGACTTCCCGTAGGGAGATAGTTTCTAGCTAGGCTTGCACAATGTTTTTTTGTTGTTTATTTTTTTAAAGAACCTTTCATGTCTGGTTAGAAGAAAACCTGTCATTTAGGTTACGATGTTGTGACAGAAGGTAATGTGGAGGCTGTCGTCTTGACCAGAGGAATGGACAGGCGATGTAAGTGTGCTTGAATGCTATTGAATATCTGCAGCGTTAACCATTCCCTCCCGAGAGCCAGTAACGTTACAGAGCAAATACCAGCCGAGGGACGGTAACGGTAGCTTGACGTGCTTAAGCCTGTTCTTTTGCTTACAAATGCTGACTTATTGCAGGTTTTATAGTGGCAGCAACGGACAGGGTAATTTGCTGTCAGCTCGCCTGTAAATGTACCAATGTATCTTACATTTGTTCGGTAAAAACAAACACCAGCAGTATGCTACCGTTACTAACGTAACGTCTCGCTTAAACACGGAACGTTAGAGTTCCGTCACGTTACCTACGTAGGTTGTATCAAGCCAAGCTGATGTTTTAGTTTAGGGAGGACTGTAACTGGCAGGTGTATTTTTATCTGTAAAAGGTCCTGCTCAGCACATTTGCTGGTCACAATTCTTTAAAAAACTTGGCACATAGCAAAAACCTTTTATGTTATGTCTTTTTTGCAATACTTGATTGAAATACTCCATAATGTTCACTAGCTAGTTGCTGTAGGTTGGTGCTGGGCAGGCAGTATACAGTTGTATTTATTACATAATACAATACACTGCTGTTGGAAATGACACCGGTGAGAGCAGGGACACTGAACCAAAACAGTAAATGAGCTGAGGGGAACTGCACAGTTGGGTGATAATTTTTTGGGGGGGCTTCATTACCAGGAGCGACCCTTTTCTCATGCATGTGAAACATTATTGATATAGAAATATTGATTATAGCAGCTTTAAACTCTCAAATATTGATATTGGCTGGGCTCTAGTCAACACTTTCCTAGTGCTGCTGTCCCTTCTTGATCTGCTACTACTTCTTCTATTACTAAGGCTGCTATGGCAATCTATCAAAGTTGCAAAGACTAGGATTTAATAGAGCCAGGCAGGTATTGTAGCGTTAGATGTCAGGCTGATATAACACTTGTGTTTATAAGCTATTGGCCCGGTGTTGCGCTATTTGAGGTTTAGGTTTTTTTGCATCCTCAGCTCAGATGACTGTCGAGTCATTTGTGTATACTCATTTCCCTTTTTTGACATTGCAGAAAGTTTGCCCTGTGTAATGGTCTGGTTGAAGAAGAAACCGAAAGCCAGTCTCTCTTAGGGTGTCACTGGACAGAGCAGGATTAATGAAGTCCTATTTGTAGGCATGATATCCACTAAATGTCTGTGAAGGTTCTCAGTCATCCAGGTCATAGTTATCCAAAGAAGGTTAAAGTCAAGGGCAACTGGACTTGGTTGAAGATACTGTGCACAGTTATTGTGTGCTGCATGGTTTAAAAGAGACATAATGAAGGCTTTCATGTGCCTGGAATTCCTGTGTGTTGAGATAGTCTAGGGCGAGGCATGTGAATAAATTAGTCACGTGAAACCAGCTGTAATTTAATACCACCTTCCACAATAAGGAAATTATGGCAGCTTCAGTGTAGCTTTAATGTCAAATAGATAAGTCTTCAAACAGGTCGTTTTAAATAGTCAGAGACACAGCAAACCATGTTAGAACAATACATGTGATTTGGCAAAATAACTAAGTTACATGCTCAGTCACATTTGCCTTGATAAGCTTTCACATGACATTACATTAATATCATGTGCATAATGACAAAACAGAAGACCCAGTTCTTGTTTCTTGAGCTGTTTTTTGCTGTGTATGTAGAGTAATGTCCATACAGTACAAGAGCAACAAGTTAGGCTACCAGTTACTGTTCTGGTACCCTTAACTACAAGCAAACTCTTACCATGAGAAAACTATTATTAAATCTAATATGTATTGATGAAGATTACCTTCCTTTATCTTTGTTATTGTTGGTGTAGTCATATTCATGAACAAACCACAAATTAATCATATTAAACTGATATAACATATAGGCTAGATATACCAGCAACTTTCATCTTTGCTTTTATAGTGTCCACAGATCTTAATAGCATTCGTGGGAAACGATTCCCGACGTTGGAAAGTTTACTGTAGAGCCTCAACCTTTCGGTTTAATGAAAAGTTGAACAGGTTTCAACTAAAGGCATTCCCGGCGGAATCCATTTATACTTTGTCTTCTTTTTACTTTTAGTTTGTCACACAAACGCTCAGCTCCTGGTTGGGTAGGATTTTACTTTTGTGTCCTCCTCTACCTCCGTTCGTGTTCTCTTTGTGCCCTTTTGGAACAAGGCTTTGCAAGGTTTATGTTACGTAGACAAGCCACAGAGGGAGAAAAGCAGGCAGGTGAGCGTGAAGTAGTGCAACCTCGGTAATGCAGTTTATATAGGGCCATTATGAATGGCTAAGAGAGCCCGATAAGGACAGAGCAGAAAAGAGGACAGGTGTAGACAGGTCGGCTTCTCAAGAAGAAAAAGTCACGGTGAACCAAGAGTGAAATGTAGAAGAGTACTGCGTCCTGGCGAGTACCGCACGCGGGGAAAAGGACCTGCAGTAGCAGGTGGGACTCACCATCTTTATCATATTCATATATCATAGATATTTTCGGGAATATATTCCTTTTAGACTTACGGAGTCGAGTTGACGGTAAGCTCAGTTTCTTCTTTCCGAAAAAGCGTTTTAATATGGTGGGTTTTTTTGTTACTGACTCTTGGATGCGGAAGCAACCGTGTAAATATACAAACAACGTTCTTTACTGCACTTTATGGTAGATTGTTTTTTTTATCTGAGCGGTGTTTGCGTAGTATTATATGGACTTAATGGATTTATGGCAAATTTAGAATACTTTATGGGATATATCACTCTCCTCGGTAGCTCTTAAAAGTTAATGTTTATATTTTTTAAACAATGCCACCAAAAAGGTTGTGGCAGTTTGCAACATGGACATAACTAAAGATCTGAAGTGTGTGTTCTGTAATATTGACCAATAGGGTGTGTGTTGTGTATTCTGCTCAATCCATGTGAATGTTGTAGCAGAGGACTGGTTGTGTTTGTTTATTCTGTAGGTAGTGTGGTGGAGCCGCAGAGCGGACTTCCATCGCCCAGTCCACGAAACCACCTGCTCAGTCCTGAATCACACATGGTAAGAACCTCCACAGTGTTTCCGCTAAACTGACAATGGACATAAGCGTTGCAAATGTTTGCAACAAAGAATTAGATATAGACAAGAAAAGCAAAGAGTAAAAACTGGGAAAATCTAACAAATATAAGTAAAGTTGCAGAGTTTTTGTTGACAGATGACAGTGGCTTTCTATCATGTGATATGGGTGCTGATAAGCTAACCACCTACAATATATGGAAATTTACCTCTATTTGAATCTGAATGGACTGTCTGACTCCTTTGCCCCACCAGGATGTTCAGGGTTATAAGTGGGTGCGCTGGCGAATGTGGTTGTGCCGTCTTGCTGCTGTGCTGTCCTTGGGTCTCCTCCTGATTGTGTTTCACTGGCGCCCAAGGCTTGCTGTCCTTGCCCGCTGCTGCTCGTGCCCTCTGGCTTTGGCGGATATTCTGCTAATAAGAGTGAGAAAATAAATTGATTCCAACTCAGATTTAAAAACCCCTTGATACCTGGCATTATTACTAAAACTGGATTTTTTTTTTTTTTTTGCATTGCAAGAATTACAACTGACCTGCATGCCAATTTGTCCCAAATCCATTTATATTCTTCAAAACCCATATAGAACTGGCTTTAGGTCCGTAATAGGTGAGACTGGCCTGGTCATAAAATATCAGATTGAACATAAAAATGATCATTGCTATAATAAAATCTGCACTGAAATGTTAGTTTCTCAGTCTGGTATATATAATAATTAAATGTTCTGTTATGTGTGTTTAAAAAAAAAAAAAAAAAAAAGGTCTGCAGAAAACAGTGTATACATTTTTTTTTTTTTATTTTGTACTGCATACATTACATCTGCACAAAATCTTAGGAATTACCAGCTTCAGTCTTAAATATTGGCCCTCAAACATCCACATTCATCAGGTGGTAGTAAATACGTAATCTTGCTTCATCAGTTTCTAATCAGTATGAATTACCAAAGCTCTGTACAATCACTTTGATCTGTTTTAACATGTACTTGTTCTGCTGGGTAGAACGGTAGGATAGGTTTATATTTGTTGCTCCGGCTCATGGCATTCTGATCACCCAGCATGAATGTTGGTGCAAGATGGAAAAGAGGAATATGTCTATGGCAGAATGCTGTCTTACGGGATCACAGATGTATTTGTGTCATTTCTCCATCAGGACAGTTTCGGCCAGCATCATGTGGTGGAGGTCTTCACAGAGGAGGTGGAGGAGGGCAGGTAAGTTACATGTCTGATGTCTGCATGTTTTTCTAAATTCTGTGTTTTACAAGATTAAAACTGTTATCTATACCAATACATTTGATGTAGCCTATCAAATGTGCATATAGGAATGTTTAAATGCATGTGCAATTATTTATGGGGACATTACACAATTATATGCTGCTCGATGGAGCTTTTTTATTTTTTTCTATTGGAATATCTGACTCCGCCTGTGCAGCCACAGTGTCTTCAATGAGCTTGCGCCTTGCACTTTTCAGAATTTGTTGAAGTGATAAACTCTTGCTAGCATGCTGACTTCAATATGATGGCGCGTATGTCCACACTTGGACACAGAGAGCAGATAAGAGAAGCTGGCTGCTCGTACACCAAAACCCAGAAGTACCTATAGTTTTTCTGTTCGTTTGGCTCAAGTGCTGTGAAAAAGACAATTATAATGCTAGGGAAGCCCCCGATTTATAAATGGCTTCCACATATAGGCAGATATTTCGAAATTCTGCGTTTAACAGTGGATTTCATATTTATTATCAAATTCCGTGATTTTGTACGTGTTTACCACATAGTAGAAATCATCAGGCTCTACATATCTGCGATTAACTATTTGTGGGCTCTGCTTACGTGGGTTGTCCCTCACAGTTTGCAGTTGTTGGGACAGCTGGAGGACACTGAATGGAGAGATACCGTTCAGCTGTACAAGGATGAGGTAACGAAGAAGTGAATGTTTGGAATTTTTGGGCAGAATAATGTTCTGAAGGATCTTCTTTCCCAGACTACAAGTGATCTTTATTGTTACAGAAAACGCTTCTGCGCTACTACCTGTTTGAAGGACTGCGCTACATCTGGCTGGACAGGAAAGGAGCTTTCTGTCGTGTTAGGTACTGTAATATGAAAATCCAAGTACTGAGCAGCTACGTTAATCATGTATATTTTTACATTTTTTTTATTTAGATAGTTTTAAACTTGTGCTACTTTGCACTGATACTGTTCTGTTTCAATATATGAATAGAAAATCTACCCATTTCCTTTTTTGTTATCATAGTGTTGAAACCTTCTGTCCTTGTCTGTAGTGTCCTCAATGAGGACTGGACCTGCAAGGACCTGTATGGCTTCCAAAAGGGCCTGAGTCACCTGGAGCAGAGCTTGAGGTAGGAACGGATGCATGAATGGAGAAATAAATGGATTCTTAAATCTCAGAGGGCACCGCTGAGTCATTCACGACAATAATTCTTTCAGGAGACGCATGTACGGGCTCAACCTTATTGATGTGCCTGTGAAGCCTTACATAAAACTGCTGTTTGAGGAGGTGAGATGGAAAAGTCTTCTATACTTTTTATACTCCCTCATTTGACTTTTTGTGATGGTTTGGAATCTTTGAAGTCATATTTTTTTCAGAAGGTGTCAATTAATTCCTTTTGTCTCTCTCTTTATCTGCTTCTTTAGGTCCTCAACCCATTCTATGTGTTCCAGTTGTTCAGCATCACCCTGTGGATGATTGATCATTATTTTGTTTACGCCATATGTATATTCATTATCTCTATTTTGTCCATAAGTATCTCACTTTATGAGATCCGCAAGGTGAGCCTGTAGTGGGATACTCGATATGATTATAATTGGTTCTGCATATGGATGTAGATAATATTATATAAACCTTCTTTGACTTTACTCCACAGCAAAGCATCACTCTTTGCAACATGGCCCGGTTGGTCACAAATGTCACAATCCGGAGAAACTCAGGAGGTGAGTTTTTGGAAATGTATTGTTATTTTTTCTAATACGTGAATTTCTTGTAGTTTCAGAAACTGGTCTACATGGATTTGTATTCGATTGATATTTAGGCTTAAATTTGTTCACTTTGCAGCATCTGTGCTTCATCTGAAGGTCAGTGGCAGACATTAATAAAATGAAGACCTGAAGACAGTAAGAGTTTTAGCCTGCCAAAAGAATGAGTGAGAGCAGCATTTCTTGACATTAACAAAACCCTATGACCACCTTGTTTTCCTGAAGGGTTGGTGAAGCGGTTTATTGTTTTAATTCACAGCCATGGTTTAATCTAGTGCCAAATAACCATTATTTGAAGGGTATGTGATACTGTACCCAGGTGTTGAGATGTCTGACAATAATAGTTATCATGTATTCTCCATAAATAGATGTAACTATTGAACCACCGGTGTTTCAGTTCCCCTTTCCTCAAGACTGAAAATCAAAAGTAGTCAAATCAAAAGTCTAGACAATAAATTGTAGAGTTATCTGTGGGATTCTATGTCCCACTCTTTGTCCTCCATAGAGGCATTGGAGTTACCACTTCTACATGGTTATCATTCAAGTGGGCTGAACTGCTAGCCACCACTAGTCGAGCTATGGAGTAATACACTCACCTAAAGGATTATTAGGAACACCTGTTCAATTTCTCATTAATGCAATTATCTAATCAACCAATCACATGGCAGTTGCTTCAATGCATTTAGGGGTGTGGTCCTGGTCAAGACAATCTCCTGAACTCCAAACTGAATGTCAGAATGGGAAAGAAAGGTGATTTAAGCAATTTTGAGCGCGGCATGGTTGTTGGTGCCAGACGGGCCGGTCTGAGTATTTCACAATCTGCTCAGTTACTGGGATTTTCACACACAACCATTTCTAGGGTTTACAAAGAATGGTGTGAAAAGAGAAAAACATCCAGTATGCGGCAGTCCTGTGGGCGAAAATGTCTTGTTGATGCTACAAGCTGATAGAAGAGCAACTTTGACTGAAATAACCACTCGTTACAACCGAGGTATGCAGCAAAGCATTTGTGAAGCCACAACACGCACAACCTTGAGGCGGATGGGCTACAACAGCAGAAGACCCCACCGGGTACCACTCATCTCCACTACAAATAGGAAAAAGAGGCTACAATTTGCAAGAGCTCACCAAAATTGGACAGTTGAAGACTGGAAAAATGTTGCCTGGTCTGATGAGTCTCGATTTCTGTTGAGACATTCAGATGGTCGAGTCAGAATTTGGCGTAAACAGAATGAGAACATGGATCCATCATGCCTTGTTACCACTGTGCAGGCTTGTGGTGGTGGTGTAATGGTGTGGGGGATGTTTTCTTGGCACACTTTAGGCCCCTTAGTGCCAATTGGGCACCGTTTAAATGCCACGGCCTACCTGAGCATTGTTTCTGACCATGTCCATCCCTTTATGGCCACCATGTACCCATCCTCTGATGGCTACTTCCAGCAGGATAATGCACCATGTCACAAAGCTCCAATCATTTCAAATTGGTTTCTTGAACATGACAATGAGTTCACTGTACTAAAATGGCCCCCACAGTCACCAGATCTCAACCCAATAGAGCATCTTTGGAATGTGGTGGAACGGGAGCTTCGTGCCCTGGATGTGCATCCCACAAATCTCTATCAACTGCGAGATGCTATCCTATCAATATGGGCCAACATTTCTAAAGAATGCTTTCAGCACCTTGTTGAATCAATGCCACATAGAATTGAGGCCATTCTGAAGGCGAAAGGGGGTCAAACACAGTTTTAGTATGGTGTTCCTAATAATCCTTTAGGTGAGTGTATTTGTCAAGTGGGTCACTGGCCTTTTTTATTATTTTTTCTTCTCTTTTTTAATTTTTTTTTTTAGCAGGGAAGAATTACTCTTTGAGCAAGTAAACATGGATGTAAATAATGCAGGATTCAAAAGTTTCAAAGAACTTTCAAAAAATATGATGATTAACGTGTTTGTTAGGTGATTATACACAATGTGATTCAGTGAGCAACACTGCATGTAAACAGGGAAACTTTAAATTGTGGTCAGAAGGAAAAAAGGCAAATGAGATGACTATATGTTAAGAAGATTAAGAAGTTTTCATTTTGGTAGTTTGCAGGGGAAAGAAGTTTATTTTAAGAAAAATTTGCTTTATAAATTACACATTTTGAACAAATTTAGCTTTTGTGACTGAAGGTGAATGTAAACAAGTCTCTTAACTACTTTATTGGGCCAATTAAAGCCAGACCTTTTCTGTCCAGTCATTTTACATTAAACTCTATAAGGACATTGATTCCTAGTTGTGTGTTTTCTCAGTGGAGGAGTGTGTGAGCTCGGTGGAACTTGTCCCCGGCGACTGTCTAATCATCCCTCAGGAAGGTCTGCTGCTGCCCTGTGATGCTGCCCTGCTGGCTGGGGAGTGTCTGGTCAACGAGAGCATGCTCACAGGTGATCAACAACCAAGCAGAGTGTAAATTTCTCATATTTTATACCTTTATGATTATTTGCATGTAGGATTGTATTTAAATAATTTTTTAAACATGACTGCCAACTGGTGCAAGTTCATCTAAAAATAGGAATGTATTTTTAGTATGTGGGGGTTCTTTGATTTCTTGCCCCTCAGTAACAATGGTACATCATTTTTACATTCTAAATCTAAAGTGTTGGGATTTTGCAAACCACTCAAATGTGTACAAAAACAGGCTTTGGCAATAAAAGGACAAATTACAGTAAATGTGGCGTAAAAAAAGATTGGTTCCCGACCTGTGAATAGCATCTCGCAGGTGTTGAGTGAAACTGAAGTGAAACAATATTATTTCTGTCTAGATATACTCTTTCTAGTTTCTAGTTCCAGAGTAAACGTGTGAACCATTTGCAAAGAGTAGTCTTGAATCAGAAGGAGCTTTATTGCCAAGGAGTGTTTTCCACATACAAGGAATTTGCTTTGGTGTTACAGCTGACATAAATAGATGTAGAAGATGTAGAAATATATAAATATGTAATAAACAAATGCAAGTTGTATAAGAATAACAGAAGAATAGAGTAAATTAAAACAAATGACAATATAAAAAAGTAAATAACAATAATAAAAATAACAATGGAAGAATGGCTCGCCTCAGAGTCCTTGAGGCGTGTAGGTCCTGAAGTGATGGAAGATTGCAGCCAATCACCTTTTCTGCAGAGCGAATGATACGCAGATGGTGATGGAGGAGATGAGGATGGACTCAATGATGGCGGTGTAGAAGTGCACCATCATTGTCTTTGGCAAACTGAACTTCTTCAGCTGCCACAGGAAGTACATCCTCTGCTGGGCCTTCTTGGTGAGGGAGGTGATGTTCAGCTCCCACTTGAGGTCCTGGGAGATGATGGTGCCCAGGAAGCGGAAGGAGTCCACAGTGGTGACCGTGGAGTCACACAGGATGATGGGGGAGGGTGGGGCTGGGCTCTTACTGAAGTCCACGACCATCTCCACTGTCTTCAGAGCGTTGAGCTCCAAATGGTTCTGACTGCACCAGGTCACCAGATGGTCGATCTCCCACCTGTAGGCGGACTTATCCCCACCAATGAGGGTGGTGTCATCCGCAAACTTAAGGAGCTTGACGGACTGGTGACTGGAGGTGCAGCTGTTGGTGTACAGCTAGAAGAGCAGAGGGGAAAGAACACAGCCTTGAGGGGAACCGGTGTTGATGGTCCTGGAGTCAGAGACATGTTTTCCCATCACCTGCAGGTGGAGTCAGTCACGTTCAGCTGGGAGAGCCTGTCCTTCAGCAGGGCCGGGATGATGGTGTTAAAAGCAGAGCTGAAGTCCACAAACAGGATCCTGGTGGAGTCCAGGTGCTGGAGGATGTTGTGAAGGGCCGTGTTTACTGCATCGTCTACAGACCTATTGGCTCTGTAGGCAAACTGCGGGGGGTCCAGGATTGATTTAACACAAGGCACTCAAAAGACTTCATTACCACAGAGGTCAGGGTGACGGGTCTATAGACGTTTAGTCCAGTGGTCCTTGGTTTTTTGGGGACAGGGATGATGGAGGAGGCTTTGAAGCATGCTGGCACATGGCATGTCTCCAGTGAGGTGTTAAAAATGTCTGTGAACACTGGAGACAGCTGATCAGCACAGTGCTTCAGGGTGGATAGGGAGAGTCTGGTCTGGCTGCTTTGTGAGATTTCTACCTCCTGAACAGTCTGTTGACTTCCCTCTCTAGGATGGTAAGAGAGGGGGAGGAGGTGGGGGATGAGATGGTGGACTGAGGTGGGTCAGTGGTGTGACAGGGGATGGTGTCAGGTCTGTCCCATTGTCTTTCAAAGCGACAGTAAAACTGGTTCAACTCGTTGGCAAGGCGTGAGTCGTTCATGGAGTGGGGGGGTTTAGGTTTGTAGCTGGTGAAATGTCTGAATCATCTCCAAGCAGAAGTTTGAGAACTGGTGTTGTCTCTCTGCATACAGCTGTTTAGCATCTCGCACTGCCTTGCTAAACCTGTACTTTGACTCCTTAAACCTGGCCCGGGAATGCAGCTGTCCTCACAGAAGCAGATGTAGGATGTCACAGCCTCTGTATACTCATTCTACATTAAACTACTGTATGTGTGCCTCCAGCTTGTTTTAAAATATTTCAGTTAGGAGTCAGTGCATTAACCTGTTCTCATCATTCCTGTGTCCAGGTGAAAGTGTCCCAGTGTTGAAAACCCCACTGCCGGCTGGTGAGGGGACATACAGTTCAGAGACTGAGCGCAGACACACCCTTTTCTGTGGTACCCAGCTCATTCAGGCCAAAGGGGGAGGGCCGGGAGGCGTTGGTGCTGTTGCCGTGGTCACAAGCACTGGTGAGTAAAGAAACTGTTGATCTGAGTCGGTTAACAATAGCATGAATGTAAACTATGCTTGTTTTAAATTTTTAAGAAAAACTGAAGGTACCCTGTGTAATTTTTGACCACTTGTAATGCGATGAAGCTGTTTTTTTTGATGAGTGGGTCCCCGTTTCATTTGGGCCGTACATGCGCATGAAGACTCATGGTCAACAATAAGCTTAAATGTACAGTGGAAGTTACAGTGACTAGTGAACAGACACTTCCCCTCTGGAGCTTCTCAAGATTACACACTACACAATTCCACTATCAATGATTCACCCTTCACTAACCCCCGCCCCCTTAGTTACTGTTGCTAATTCGGAGCTTTCTGACTTTTATCACGGTGCAGCCGTTGTCTATTACTACACTCCCCGGAGACCTATTGTCATATTTGTTGGAAAAAGCAGAAAGACAGAAACAGTTTATTAACACTGCATGCCCCAACGATTGAGACAAAAGACAACAATATGAATGATCAACACTGTTCCAGTAAAGCTGCGTAGGTCTCTATTCATTATTACAGTTGCTAAAAAGCAGAACAGTAGGGCTTTATTACGTAGAAAGTTAGCTACATTAGGAACAATCCACAGCTGACATTTTTCTGGATTTGTTTTGGAAAGGGAATAAATCGTACTTCTCCTATCAACCTCTCTGGGTAGCAACTGTAACCATTACAAGTGCCCCAGGAAGAGCGTTTGACCATATCTTAGCTATAAAACGCCTCTTTTTGCATTAGAGTCAATGGAGTGCAGCCATGAAAGCATCGGACCTCAGTTAGAGCGAGTCCTATACTGCACTGTGATTGGCCAGCTGCGTATTCGGGGCGTGGCTTAGCGAAGGGTCAGCTCTGATTCAACTCTGTAAGTCCTTTGTCGGGGACACCCCTAATAATATCAATTCAACACTTTTGTGGCGCAGCAGCACATCAGCTGATTTTACTTACAGAGCCTCCACCTGCTTAGGCCTATATCTGATGTAGTCGGTGTGATCGGCTGGATGTGCAGGCTTTCCTTTCCTTTGCTTGCTCCTATAGTCTTTATTGTAGCTTAGTGACTTGTTTAGGCCAACTCCTTACTCATTTTCTACTTCTTATTGTCATCTATTTGAAGTAGTCTGCAACGCACCACTAAAGCCAAAAGCACTCGTGGAGATTTTTCAGTTAAAGTTCTTCAAGAGTTATTGATCCAAAATTACAAAGTTATTCTCAGTGGTTGACTTTGAACAAACGGATCACAACTTACAGTAGTCAATAAAATATCTCTTTTATTCAAATACAAATATGATAATACAATTTTCCAAAATGTTTATATAATAGTTATTTCAAACAAAAGAGAAAAGAAAATGGATCATATTGCTTGTCCATAACAACAATAAAAATAATACGAATCAACTGCTATGGCTTCACCAGGTGGCATTTTACGCGAGGTATCGAGTGATTGATGTCTGTCTCACTTTAGGGGAACTGTTTTTGGTACTGGTTTTGTAAAGTTTTAAACCCAGCCGTAGTAACTTTGAGAGCTCACATTTGCTCTTTCTCCTGCTTATATCTCATTCTCAGGGTTTTTCACTGCCAAAGGTAACCTGGTCAGCTCCATTTTGTATCCTCAGCCAACCAACTTTCGCTTCTACCAAGATTCTGCCAAGTTCCTTTTCATGCTGTGTTTTGTTGGTAAGTGCTTTAATAGCAACCTGACTGATTTTGTTTAAAGAGTGTATGAAGAAGCAAATCTTGTCTGTATCTACAGCTGTGTTACTCAATATATTTCAAGCCTTTTACAATTTAACATGAATAAACTTTTTCCAAAATTGTCCTCCTTGTTTCAGCTTTTATTGGCACCATTTACAGCTTTGTGGTCCTCTTCAGAACCAATGTAAGTTCAAGCTACAATGTAAGGACCGACTAATGTCTGGCCTGTCTTTATTTGACATACTAACAATAAATAAGGTGATATCACTGACTTGTGTCTGGATGTGTGTCCAGGTGACCTGGTTGGAGTTGGTGATTAGGAGCCTGGATATTGTGACCATCGCAGTGCCTCCTGCTCTGCCTGCTGCTATAACCACTGGCACTATCTACGCCCAGCACAGGCTGAAGAGGCAGGGCGTCTTCTGCATCAGTCCACCACGCATCAACATCTGTGGCAAGGTCTCACTCTTCTGCTTTGACAAGGTGAGGGGGAATCCATTAACTGAAGTTTGCTGTGTATGAAAAGGACAGCTGTGGCCACATCAGAGTACGTCTGTTTCTCCAGACAGGAACTCTTACAGAGGAGGGTTTGGATGTGTGGGGAGTGATGGAGGGGGGACCTGCTGGTTTCTCAGAGCTGCTCCCAGAGCCCAGGCTGCTTCCTCCAGGGCCAATGCTGTCAGGCCTGGCCTGCTCCCACACTGTGACGCTATTGCGAGGTCAGCCCCTTGGAGACCCTCTGGAGCTCAAAATGGTCGAGTCCACAGGTTGGGTAAGACACTATAAAGCTTATTTTATTTACTTGAAGAGGTACTTGGCTAGGAGTGTTTATTGTTTGAATTGTTTTGAACACTTAACTTTTCTTACTGGTACTAAAACAATACTTTTTTGATACCTTACTTACTAAACCCTTTTGTTGTTTAACAAGAGAAGCCAAACACATTTGATGCAAGCTTTTGGGTTTTATACAAGTTTACAATACAGGTTTGGGTCAGAACCACAACATTGAGGTTGGATAGCTAGACCCATGCTTTACTTACAGTTATACTTAAAATAAATATCCCACTCATAACATATAATATTAATTTAATTTAATCTTCTGTTATAACGTGCTAATTTAAATGCGTGTCTTTACATTGCATCTCATTTTACAGACACTCCAGGAGCCAGAGGGAAATGGAAAGACGCTGGATGCAGAGTTTGGAGGCCACAGAGTTTTGGCTGTTATGAGACCTCCTACTCAACGGCTCCAAGCTCAAGGAAGTGTGAGTGTCCCTACCAACACTCTCATGTAGACTAATAGGACTTATTAGCTATTAATGTCATATCCCCCTGACCACTGTAAGTAACACTGTTGTACATGTATTACAAACTGAATTAAATGTAGATAAGGAAAAGTCGGTACATCACTAGTTAAAGGGAAGTCATTGTAATCCAATACACTTTTTGTTAAATTCCATGAATATTTCTGCACGGTTTGCTAGTTCTCCATTTTGTTTGTGCTCTGAAAAAAATCCGGTTTTCCTACACAGCCCTTGCGCTGTAAAAGGAAAACAAAGAAAGTGGTGTGGACCTTGCCACATAACATTGTTACTGCCAATCAGCAACAAGTGGCGTTAGTGCTTGTGCACAGGAGTGGTGATGTCATTAGGAGAGAGAGTTCTATACACCGGCACATTTGAACGTGCTGGACTCCAGGCACTGTGAAGAAGAAGAGATAGCAGAGAAATGGCCAAATAGGAAAAGGTCTGAAGAATATAAACAGAAGAAAGTTAGATCACCAGGCATGAGCGAATGAATTCCAACGCAGGAGAAAAGAGACACATTTTAAATGTTAGGGGCAGAGCTTCTGAGGGAGCACCAATTGGAGCGGTGTGTTTGTTTGTCAGTTGAGTTCAAATATCAAAAATCCTTCTGCAGAATTACTTACTCACCCTTTACTTACTCACTGTCTGCTTTGTTAACTGTGTGCCTACTATGTCAATATGTGCATCTAGAGTTTCCAGTTTCATGTAAGTGTTATATTTCTCTTTCATTTTGCGGTCAGTCAACAAGCGAGGCGGTGGCCATCGTTCAGAGGTTTCCCTTCTCCTCGGCTCTGCAGAGAATGAGTGTGGTGACGGTTTCCTGTGGAGGAGACTCTGCTCTCGCTTTCATCAAAGGATCCCCAGAGATGGTGGCAACCCTCTGCCGAGCAGAAACTAGTCAGTAATTTAAGAATGATAAGATAACTTCTATAGTATTGCAGTCCAGCATTTTCTGTGATTTAGAATGACATTGACAATCATTGGTTTACAGGAATGGTAATAAAAAAATGTTTTCAAAGAATCTTTCCCAAACGTAGACAAGTCAATTTTGCATTATCTACATCTTTTACTGTACATTTATACTAAATTGGAAGTTTTGTGTTTACAGTTCCGGCACAGTTCTCCAGCAAACTGCACAGCTTCTCCAGTGAAGGCCTTAGGGTTCTTGCACTCGCTTGTAAACCATTAGACAGGAACACTGACTTTAGGACCATTGAACGGTGAGAACCCAGCCTGAGAGTCATACTGGTATGGATGCTACAAACACAATGTACATGCTACATCAGTGAGTGTTAATGCAGCTATGTGTATTTCTGCAGAGGGGAGGTAGAGAAAGACATGCAGTTCCTAGGCTTGCTGATGATGAAGAACCTGGTGAAGCCAGAGAGTGCTAAGGCTATCAATGTACTGAGAATGGCACACCTTCGCACGGTCATGGTCACTGGTAAGATATATTTGTATCAACCACAGCAAATTACACTGTGCACCTCTTTTTGTTTTATTCCAAGTTGTCATGAACTTAATGCCATCAACGTCATGTCAAATCTTGTTTTTGTCCTTCACACAGGGGACAACATTTTAACAGCAGTCAATGTAGCAAAAAGCTGTGGGATGGTGGGGTCTGATGAGAAGGTGATATTTGTCAATGCAACCCCCCCCACTGCCCAGTCCATGGCCACCTTGAGGTTCAGCCTGGAAGGAGGAGGGGACACTGCTGCCCAAAGTTCCATAGAGATCGTCACTCGGGTTAGTCCTGCTCAGACACAACACCACAGCACATTGCTCCTCAGTATGTCTTAGCTGTACTTTTTTGGCAAAATATATTTCATCTGTACATCTAGTACATCTGGAAAGGTGTAAAAAAAAAACAAAAAACTTCATGGTTATTTTCAAAAATCATGGTTATTTTGTATGAGAATCTTTTTACCACAACTGTGTTGACATTTCTGTAATATTACTATGTGATAACATGAACACAATACTGTGGCAGTTTTTGTCGCCGTAATCGTGTTACACTCATAAATATTAAAGGCGATGACCTTCATTATATGTCAGACTAAGTGGAACTCTTCACAAGCAGCATGGACATCAAAAACAACAACATGGTTTGATTGTAAATCTAAATATTTCTCGTAGTCTTTGAGTCCTGTTATTGCTCTTACAAGGAGCTTATGCAAAATCCTTTTCAAATATTGATACATACAAGATTTTATGAACTGGTTAGGTTTTAAATTGAATGATTAAATGGTTATCACAATAGCACACATAATAGGCACATAGTGAGCACAATGATGGCCTACATTTCTAAACTGGCAGGATGAATTTTGGTAGCTGTCATTGATGCTTTCCTTTTCTCCTCTCAGGACCTGTACCAGGGTGGTTTTGGCTATCACTTGGCTATTAATGGCAGGTCCTTTGCTGCCCTCTGTGACCACTTCTCTGAGTATCTGCCAAAGGTAATCTATGTATGCTATGTAATGTATGTGATTATTCTGGCCATGAACCAGGCTAATGCACCAATGACACATGTAGGGGAGTCGTCACAGGGACAGTCATTAAATTACATTATATTTTGGTTCAAACAGAAGCATCAGACTAACAGACAGATTTCAAGCGCCACTTTCAGTTGACTAAAAGATGATGATTGTAGGGAGTAAGTCAAATCAAGATGTGTTCAATTGTCATCGGAGCTCTTTGTCTTTTCTTGACATGCCTCGTCATTGCAGGTTTTGTTGCGAGCCACAGTGTTTGCACGCATGACCCCTGACCAGAAAACCCAGCTGGTGAAGGAGCTGCAGAAACTGAAGTGAGTTCAGAAAATAAAACGGAGTAGGACTGTACTGAGAGCAGTGTGAGGGGAAACTAAACCCTCATTAACCTGCAGTCCTAATACTCTATTATATTTATTTATTTTATTTATAGTCAAACCCCTCTTCTATTACTACAGCTACCGGGTGGGCATGTGTGGAGATGGGGCCAATGACTGTGGGGCCCTAAGAGCTGCTGATGTCGGGGTTTCTCTGTCTGACGCAGAGGCTTCAGTTGCTTCACCCTTCACTTCCAAGACTGAAAACATCAGCTGTGTGCCGCTGCTTATCAGGTGAGAAAGGAGGAGGCATTTACAGCGTTGAAATTAGAAAAGCAAGTTAATGGCAGGAGGACATCTTTGAAAACCAAAAGAACCAGCAATGTTTGTAGTACAGTACCTGCAGCAGAGAAATATTGATGCATTTTTCCTTCTTCTCTGTTCAGAGAGGGCCGATGTTCTCTGGTCACCTCCTTCAGTCTCTTTAGATACATGGCTCTTTACAGCCTCATTCAGTTCTGCTCCATCCTCATCCTCTACACAGTAAGTAGCAGTGGAGCTCATCACAACCTCACTTTCAAAGTAGCCATCTGTTTTCGTTCAATCCTTGGTGGCTCAGCTTCAAGTTACTGCTGCCATTCTTTTATATTTCTGTCCAGTCAGTTATTAGGCCAGACGTTATGGAACCCAAAGTGTTGAAATAAATAAAGACGTTATGAAATAAATAAATGGTGTATTGAAAGGTGTAGAAAATAGGCCAGCACATTGTCATAGTAGCTTAATTGTGGACATTTTCAGTATTTAAAATAAAGCCACTTGTTGGAAACCAGTAAAATTGCCACACTCTGGCTAGCCAACGTGACAAATATTCTAGAGACAGATTACTGCAATGTATTTAGGCAAAGCTTTACTCATAATAAAATGTCAATACAGGATTTAATTAGTTGTATTTATTGGCTAAACAGGATTGTGAAAAGAGACTTGGCACACCTTGTTCTAAAAATTCTGTGCATGATTACAGCCTAAATCATATCCAGTACAGGTTTGCAATGTTATCCCGAATAAATCACTTAAAACAATGTTGCATTAATTCTGCTCTCTTGACTTCTGTTTGTTCCCTTGCCTTTAATGTTTAAATAACTTACAGTGAAACATGTGACTTCCTAACGTGTGTCCAGATTAAGACGAGCATGGCTGACCTGCAGTTCCTTTTCTGTGACATTGTTGTGGTGACTCTGCTGGCCATCGTGATGGGGAAAGGAGGTCCCAGTGAGGAGCTGCACCCCCACAGACCTCCAGCCAGTCTGCTGACCCTGCCTGTCCTGGGCAGCCTCTTCATCCACATCTGCGTGGTCATCCTGGGCCAGCTGGCTGCGCTCTTCATCACCACCTCACAGGACTGGTCAGTAAAAAGACTCACAGCTGCAAAGATTTTTTATTTCCCTTCAGGATATCCTAAATAAATGTGATTCTATATTCACTAAACAAAATCTAATATCGCAGGTTTAGAAAAGGACCAGCATCCCATCTACACGTGATGCACTTTAATAGTCCTAAACTTCATCCCCTGTATTGTTTTTAGGTATATTCCACTTAATTCCACAGTATATGGAACAGCCAATCTGCCCAACATGGAGAACACCACTGTGTTTGCCTTGTCGGGTTTCCAGTACATCATTATGGCTGTGGTGGCCACCAAGGGCTACCCTCACAAGAAACCTCTCTACCACAATGGTGAGTCATCAGAAATGTCCAAGGATGATGATTTGGGGTTGGGAAGGGTGATGCATTCAGACATATGGTGACAAATTGGTTGGCTATTCATTTTGCTTAGTTCATCAAATGTAGCTTTAGCTTTATCAAAAACAATCTTAGTAAGTAAAAATAAAACCTATTAAAGATTTATTGATTCATTGAATTCAGAAGTGATTTTCTTCTTTTCTTCTTATCTTTCCAGTGATTTTCCTCTGTCTACTGTTTGTCCTCTTTGCCCTCATGACTTGGCTAGTGGTGTATCCTGGGACCTTTGCTTGCCAAATACTTAAACTGTATGACATCTCTGATATGAATTTCAAACTGCTGCTCGTCGCTCTGGCCGCTCTCAACTTACTTACTTGTTTTGTTGTGGAGGTAAGTGATGAAATGAAACATTAAATGAAACATTAATATTCCCTTAAAGGACAATTGTTAATCTGCATGAAAAGTAGCTGGCTCAATCATGAACACCAACCAGATGAAACACATTATAGAGGCTTTGGGCTATAATAGCTGTACATCAAAAGGGAGTTTTGCCAACGCCAGCACTGCTTGCTGCCACAACTCCTTACACTACCCCTGCCTCCTCTTACTGACTTACTGCTGAAGTTTTTCTTGTTTTTGTTGACTTCATAAGCACTAATGTTCACGTAGGCCCATGTTCATTCAGCTCTGATTCTGAACCATTATGTGTCAGTGGGGAATACTACTTCCAGCAGAAACCTCAGATTCTTTGAGCGCTCCCTCAGGGCAGAGCCTTTTCCACCAAATCTAACTGTGTAACCACCAGCGTACACGACACTTGGTGACCGCAGGCTTCATGCTGACACAACCTATATGTATAACAGGGGTTCTCAGCTTAATACAATACACAGAATTTTGCTAGTTTAAAAAAATTCAGATTTTAATAAAATTGAAAGAGACTGGACTAGAGAAACTACAAAAACACCTCCTAATGCTCAGCAATGTGTATCTTTAAAGCATTGATCCAGATACTATCTGCTTACTTTATTCCTAGGAGCACACAAGTGAATGCAAATGTTTCACATTTTGACATGTCACATTTGGAAAAGCACAAGCTGGCCCACTATCACTGCTAAGGGGGGCACTGGAATATAAAAGAGCCACCCTTAATGTTTTTAGTAACACCTGTTTTCCTGCTAGAACAAGTCAAAATGTCTGCTCAGTCTATTTTCAACATTAATAGATTAATACTGCAAATGGAGAATCTCTTTTAGTGATAAGTTTCTAAAAGCCGTTGTTAACTGTACAGTTGCTTTTTTTCCCCAGGTGCTGATAGACTTGGGTATCCTGAACTGTCTCCGGTTGCTGCGTGGGAGGCGTCAGTCCAAGAAACAGTATAAACGTCTGAACATGCTTCTGTCGGACTCCCCATCATGGCCGCCCCTTAATGAAACCCTCTACTCCACAGATCACACATTCATCTCCCTTAGCTAGCATCTACTTCCACGTTGGACACATTCAGTCACGCAAGCTGACCAATGCTGTGGATGTCTAAGCTACATCCCCAACTTGACCAACAATGCAGAGTTATGATTACCTGTATTAATAAAAACTTCTCTAAACTATTATGTATTTTGAAAGATGCTTATATTTTCTATGAAGTTTCAGTGTGATTTAGTAATGTGGACCACACAGCACTAACGGCTCACTAATCAATGGAAGTACTTTCTGAAAAATATTCTTGAGTTCTAATACACTTTGAGCAGCTTTGGACAAAAGCACCTACCTGCCAGTTCAATGACCATGCATCACAAGACATCTTTGCAAATCATTTTATTAAATCAGTATTTACAGGCAGTTTGTGTTCTCTCAGGGCTCAGCTAAACCCAACTGTCTCCTGCTCTGCTACTAGAGTTCCTGAACTTCACTATTAACAATATTGTGAATCTCCCTCTGTTATAATCAGTTTCTTGGAACTACAGTAATAAAAGAACCAGGAAGTAAAGATGTGATACAGGAGGCACAAGCTGAATTAAACCATTACAAGTATTTTTCTACTGGTGATGTGCACCATTAAATATGGCTTTACTGACATTTCTCCGTTTCAACGAATAAAAGGTGGAAAAATGATCTATTGGGCACAATGGTCCTGGACAGCTAGGTAGTCGGTGCCTTTCAGGTTCACATGTTCCATTTCAGCAGTGGACCAACAGTTACTGAGCAATCACGCGGGGTGATGTTACAGTTTCTTACATAACCAAGATGCAAACAGACAAAATTCAAAAACAGCCATTCATTCATCTTGGACATGGTTTCAGTTACATTTCACCACAAACTGTTTCTGACAAAACTTTAATATGGACATTTGCTGTTTGAGCAATCAAACATGAAAAATACAATCTTAGTTCATTTCATTCAGTCTTGTTCACTTGCACCTGAGTTCCTACGTACTGTACGTCAGTAAAGGACATGAAGGAACGAGCACACCGCTGACGAGGTGGAGATGTGACGGAGAGGCTTGTGAAGGAAAGCAGTAAATTCATTCCCCTGTCTGACTCTCCATTGAGTTGCTGCCAGCACCACCTTCAAATAATGACATCTGAATTAAGTGACATATACAGGCTGATTTTAAAATAGGATTTTGGTTCATTTTGATTAAAATACTGGTCTGACATCACTGCCATCTCATACAAAAAGGCATAAAAGCTACTTAAAAATGACTTCTACGATCTCCTTTTCATTTGTCTTTTTTTTGCTTTTACTTTTCAATAGAAATAATGACGTGACAGTCCAAGGAAGACCTCTGAAAAGCTCAAAAAAAAAAAAAAAAAAAAAAAAGTAAACAGAACTCATCAGATATACCACTTGACATACATGACCCTTACCCTCAGTTTTTAAGAACAAATTTACTTATTAGGTGTGCACTGATAATGCTAACATATCAGTTAGCAGACCGGTACCAGGCAAATACTCAGCATTAGTGGTGAGTGTACTGTGTGAGATCTGACACCCCAAGCTGCAGCCCAGGGTGTCTTTATTTTAACTGTACGGAGAAACCAAAAATTTGCATTTTAGCACCAGACAAAGGTGTTTCCTATTTCAGAAAAACTGCAAATATTATGTTCATTTAAAAAAAAAAACTCCCTCAATATTAAATACTGATTTAATGAACATGTTCTTGATGGTGTGTGTGTGTGTTCTGTACTCAGTAGATATCAGAGCATCCCTAGTATAGATATTTAAAGATAAGCATGAAAAACAAAAAGATAAAAATTTAGTGAGCCAACATCTGAAAAATTAAAAACATGTGTATATGATGTGAGAAGTGATGTCTGTTATTATTGCTGGGGAGAAGCTGTTGCCCATGAACCAGCTCATCTCATTTTGCTATGGCCCGTCATTCCTCCTCTCTCGCTCTCTCTCTCTCTCAAAGTCTTTGCTTTCGCTTTGCAAGCATCCTGAGATGGGGCGCCTGGGGACTGAAGGAGGACAGAAATGGAGGTAAGGGGGCGTCTCTTAAAGGGATCATCACAGTGAGTCCAGAAGATGTCCATAATCACAGTGTCTAACAAACTGGAGTGGGGAGAGAAGAGAGGACGTTTCCATTTGACCTTGCTCCCCGTCAGTTCAGCATAACCGCTTGTGGGAAGAGTTGGGCAGAAGTGCGGCTTTACTCACAGCCCATCCGTTATAATGATACTGAAGGAAGTTTTAAGAATACAGTGCTGTCTTTGCTCTCAGGTGGCCCTTGATCTCTCTCCCCTTAATGGCTGGGTGGCCCCGGGGCCCACTTATCTGTGCTGTCGGAACCCTTGGGTGCCGTCTAGGCCAGCTGGCTGCCCGACAGTGTGATTGTTTGATCGGGTGTCCTCTGAAGGCAATGTAGAGTTATTGCGCCCTGGTCTGGCAGAAAGAGGAAACAGGAATAAATTAGAGATGGCAGCATTTTAAACGTGCCAGCTGCTGGACAAAAACAGCTGACAACTTGTTTCCAGTTGGCAAGTTTCAGCAGCATTCTTGTTTTCAACGAGTGTCTTTCTCCTGAACTGTCCTTATTACACGAGCCCTGTAGTCTCACAACAGACAGACCTCCACACATGATTTTACTGCTAGTGCTCCCTCTTGGTTTTCGGTGAGTTCTATTCAAAACTGTATTTAAAAAGAACAGTTTTAATAGCCTTTTTTCTTCATTGTTCATTCTTTTGAGTTTTGGTTGCTTTTATATTCATTTTGGCACAATTCACTGCTATTCAAATCCAACTGAACACAAATGAAAAGAACTTCATATTATTCAGTCAACTAACTTCAAGTTGGAACCAGACAATCAAGTTCTGCAAAAATTGCGTCAAAGCTTTCTAGGATTGTTAGGCTCCACCTCCTCCTCTCTGAAACCAAAAGGCAACGCCAGGACTGGAGGTGAACGAAGCTCCTCACAACCCTGCAGATGTTCATCTGAAATTCTGCTGGAAATAGTTCAATTTTTAGTGGCTACTGCCTTAGCAATTGTTTTGATTGTTAGCTGCTCCCATTATTTGGATTATTTGTCTTATTTACATTGTTTACCTATAGCCAACATTTTAAAGTTTGTGTTAGTTGGTTTCAGTCATTAGAATATTCAGAAAACCAACTCAGTTCCACACTGACCAGACAGACTTTTGTTGCCTATTTTTTCTTATTTAAGTCACAAGGTCAAGGCTTTTTGGCAAATGGAAAACTACTTGTTCCCGGTTGTATTGGCCCTAAAGGTGTTTCAACAGGTTAAAATAACTGGGTGAGCCATAACTCACATATGACGCTCATAACTGAAATCATTTTATTCTGAGAACCTTTCAGTCACAAGGTAGGAGGTGGAATCAGTTTTTTGGCAAGTGCAAAACTGCATAGGCTATATGGGCTATTTAAATGTATTTCACCTGGTAATAAGGACTGATTGAGCTATACTCTGTCTTTTTGGCAACTGCAACAGGCCTACTACAAAACTCCATATTTCAACTGGTTATAAAAGGACTGGATTGGTTGGCACAGAGCAGCTAAAATAATGGGATAATTGAAAGATTATTGAATTTTATATAACCCAGCCGTGAATCATGTTAATTAAAGACTACAGTCTGTTTTCCAAATAGAAACAAGGATGTTTAACATAGGCTTACCAAGCACAAATTTCATCAGCAACAATAGGCTAATTTTATTGCTTATAATAGTGTTTTGTCAGGCCTGATTAACTGCAAAACAACTGTGATGCGATTTTTCTGTTACAAGAAACATTAACGTTTCAAAAAGACATACCTTTGCAACTACCGCGGCCATAAAGTGATGTTTTTCTGCACATTATGACTGTCTGACCCAGATAAAAGCAGCTGTAGATGTATAGCCTAGCAGAGGTCAATCAGTTTTTGGCAGATGATCAATTTTCGACGGGTCCGTTGTCAATGAGAGAGAGAGAGGAGCGAGTAATGGACACTTTACTAACCTACATTGACATCTAAGAAAGTCATCTGCGCCGACGTTCCGCATGCCAGTATAGGATTAGTGGTCAAGGGAACACTCTCAGAATGTTGCGGTTTGTTGGAACACGCCGCACATTGGTCCGACTTTCTACGACTCGACATGTCAAACTTTAAAGACTCATCTGACTAACGGCGCACACTGATCCAACAGTTGGTCGGCGTTTGTCGGGGCAGTGTGCAACAAGCTTTAAAATGGTGATTAAACACAGAGTTTAATTTGAAGTTGTAAACAGAAGACAAAAGATAACATGATCATGAAATAACACTTTTAAAGTCCTGGCAACTCCATTGTATTGTTTACGATACGTCACTCAAGCAAAAGCCATGTAAAGTAATTTGTCCAATCAGCAAATCCATCTAGTTGGCTACATCACTCTACTGGTTTGTTCACCTAGCATAGATCCGCTAGTCAATGAGGTTATGTGAAGTTTAGAAAGAGAAGTATAAGGACATTAAATACTGTGATCTCTAGGATTCGCCTGAAAAGTAGATTGTGGACGCCTTCCTCAGATTTTCCTACAGAAAACATTTGTACATTTACAAAAAGACTGTTTTTTGGAATCAGAGTAAACAATGGCACTGTGATTTGGTGTTAATTTAAGTTCACACACAAGATGTTAATTCCTGGAAACAAGGTGGATGGAGAGACCCTAAAATAATGCCTATTAATTTGAAAAAGTTTTATTACAGTCTTAAGCCCTTCAGCAAGGTGAAGTAAAACCTCAAAACTGTCAATATTTGTGGATTATTACCTGTCAGTGTTGGGCTTGTCCTGAGGCGTCTCCTCGGGGCAGGCACTGCCCAGTATTCTCTTCCTGGCCTCTGCGTACTCTGCCTCGCGCTGGGCCAGAGACTTGACCTGTGGTGTAGGCCTGTTCTGATTCAAGGGTGATCCCAATGAACCGTTACTTGTAGGTCGCTTCAAAATGCGTATCTGAGGCGGGGGTGCTGCTGGTAAAGAGTCGTCCTGTATCACCATGGTTGTCTTTAATGGAGATCGTGGAGAATTATTACTGGACTCCCTAGAAGCAGACCAACAGGACACAGTCCGTGTAAAATTAGTGACATAACAGACAGGAAGAGGCCATTACCTTGAAGCCCAGGAGGCAGTGCCGATAACAGCTTAAATATATATAAACATATATATGGCCACAAGACTTTTGACAGAAATTTAAATTTATATAAAGTTTCATACTTGGCATCTTAAGACCATTGCTGAATTGTTATGTTCTTAATCAGTGTATAGTTTTGCAGAGAGCCAAGACACACTAAAAAAGTATAGTTCTATTGAAATAGAAGCAATCATTTTCTTGTTCCTTCTGCCTTACTTTTCTTTCTGGCTGATCCTTAGCTTCTCTTCTAACCGTTTTTCCATGTCCTGTGGAGGAAAACATAGTCCAAACATGTATTCATTTTAACAAACAACATGGTGAGATTGATTTGGGGTAGGAAGAAAAGTGCAGCAGGTAGAAAGCAAGTCGGAGAGTGGATGGAAAGCAGGATTCAATTACAAGCTATTTATACATCTGCAGGACATCTGCCAAGTCACAACATTGAGTTCTCAGCTAGCTAACATTAGCCGACTGGTGTTAACAGCTAAATGTGTTCATATAAGGTTTGATGAGGTGCATTTCGGAAACTGCATTTTACAGTGAGTAACCACAGGAACATGCTAATAAGAGCTGTAACTTCAACCTGACGAGCTGCTCACGTCCTGACCAACTTCTTCTCAGAGCCACGTTCTTGATGTCATGACCGAGGGGATCGATAGTGCCAAGCTACGGGGACAGTAGCTTGGCATGTTGGCCAACATAACTACCGTTCTACCCGACAACTGGTTGATAACATGGCCGAAATTGTTGTCCAACAACAACTTGGTCTTGTAAACTACAGGAAATCACAAGTTAGTTCAGCAAAAGACGTCATAGCATTCAGAGTTTAAGCCAGACTGTGAAAAACGTGCTAAATTAACAACACTCTTATAGTTTCTGTACACATTTTAAGAATATGTTTAACAGTCGATCTTGTAAAGTTACTTAACGTTATCTTCACTTTATGACATGTAAAATTTGATTTACAGTGCTGCTGCTAGTCGTCGTCCACAGAATGGCTCGGCTAACGTTAACGTTAGTCGTTCTTGCTGTGAATAGTGTGAATCATTGTTTAGGACAAGAGTTATTAACGTCCTGAAATGTATGCCGCATTAAATATGAGACGAGAGTGTGTACATTTTCCAACAAGTAAACCAACATTCAATTGACAAATTTCCATGTTAGCCATGCAATGAGTTTCTAGCTTAGCATTCGCTAACGTCAACCTGAGCATTTCAACAGGAACTCATAATTTCGTGAGTTTCGCTCGCTTCATGTAACGTTAACGTTATATTCGTTAGCTGGTCGCCATTTGCTAACAATCAAGAATATTAACGCCATTTCATGCGAAACAACTTAGAAGTAGCAAACGTCACTTGGCTAGTTAGCCATGTTAAGCCTGTGTAGCTCATTAGCTAACGTTACTTCACGTTAGCTCGCCAAGTTTCTTAAAGCTAACGCTAGCTTTAGCCACATTGTTGGCCCGTGGGAGTCGCTAACATGGAACAACGTTACGAGAACTTCTAAAAGCAACTATGTAAATATAAAGAAGCTACCGAAGGGATGATTGCCTTGAACTCAGGGTATTTTGAGCCTTTCATTATTTACCCCACTATCAGCAGCTTCCTCCCAACTTTCGACGACCTCCTCATCCATGTTTCATTTTGCTCAGACACGCTGTGAAGTTGGCTATCCTGGGCTCCTTCAGATCCGCCTCTCTGCTGTCCACCGCCTTTGACATCACACTGACGGATTTCCCCAGAGCATGATAACGTTACCCTCTCTACACAGCTGATTAGGCCCTGGCTGACTGCAGTTCAGTAAAGTGGCAGTAAATAATGAACAAGCTAAAGTATTTTGAAAGTAAAACACGTCTTTTAGTTTGCGCTGAGCATGCTACAGGTGTGTGAACTGTGCTCAGCCCAGGAGAACTACAAATGTGATTTATGTGGCTCTATTTTCAAATCACTTTGTGCCATTTGGCCTATATTGTAAACACATATTTATAAGGTAGTGTACATGATCATATAAGGCATCGCAAGCTTACACTGTGATCAAGATCGCAGTTAGAGTGCAGGTCGTTTTTAACAGCAGATAAAAGAATTCGCAGAAAAATATAGAAATTCAAAATATAGTTGGCCAAATGAAGTATTAATTATATGATCTTTAAACGGTTAATTATAATTGACATAACTGATATAACTATACAGTAGCTGTGGATTGTGTGTGTCTGTGTTTGATTTTTATCTGAGCACAGATACTTGTCTTTCTCAATGGCGAAATTGATCTGTTCTCAGTGATCAAAGAAGAATAAATTTCTTACACACTGCAGTGATTTTACATGGTATGAAAATGAGCCTAGTTATTAACAACAACGTGCTTATTTTGTTTTTTATTAGACTTTTATCCAATGACTACACCGCAGGACTGGGTTACTCAAATACATGTTGTTTTATTGCTATCAGAATTATATTGGCTTCCTCACTATCAAACAATGTGTTCTAAGATAAAAGAGGACCAGATATAGAAGGGCTGATACAAACAAAAACAGAAATGTACTCAATAACCCAACTGATGCATGTCAGCTTTTCTTATGTGCGAAATTGTCTTATTGTAGCCCCATATGTTTCTGTTTTATGGTATAATAAAGATGTGTGTGTATTTAATATGTTCAAATGCTATGATATGAACCTAATCAGACAAATGACCAAATATTTTTGAAGGTCAGAAGTTGAACCAGCCTACAGACCTGTAAATCTGATATGTACGTAAGCGTCACTTTGTGTCATTAGAGGATAGCTTGACAATTTTTCATGTCTGTCCTAAAACAATAATCAGGTGCCCATATAGACACTGAAACAGGTTTTTCCCGCTGTAATAATTCTATATTTTCATAGGCCTACTGCCCATTGAAAATCTATTCCTTATGCCCATTCAATATAAGTGATAGAGGACAAAATCTACAGTGCTCGTTCTGTGCAAAAATATATTCCAAAGTTTATCTGAAGCTAGTATGAGGCTTCAGCAGATTGAGTGAGTCAAATGAAGTAGAAAGCTTCCACATTTACTGCAGTTTTAGTATGAAATGACTATGTTTTTCTATGGACTTTGTTTCCCGTAGAGCTGCAGTGGACAGTCATAAAAAGATGGAATTTAGCACTATAAAGATAGATGAAAGAAAGAAGATGTAAACTTTTAAAGCTATCCACTTTATTTAGTCAATCCCAGACAATTGAAGTCTCATTGAATCTTCATGAATGTATTTAGCAAAAACAGAACGAAGATAGTGGATTTGTCCCACCAGTTAGTTATGGGATTGTATATTAACAGTAAAACACTCTAGGCTACTGTATATGTACAGTAGTACATACTGTACTGTACTGGTATTATTATGGAATTAGGACACACTTTATAAGATATCTGGTGTGCTTAGACATGCCAACTGCCGTGGACATCAAATCTCATTAACCTCAAAGTTGCTGCAAAATCAGCCAACTTTGCACACATCCTAACAAGGTCAAAATGTCTCATGGATTTGTCTAAACGAAGTCAAACTATGACTAGGCTATACTGCAGGCTACACAAACATTCTTCTGCCACAGTGATCAGTGGATCACAAAACATCTCTGACAAAGCGGAACGCTTTGTTTCATTGCACAGGGAGAGGCCAGTCTTGCCTAAAATATTTGACATCAAATTTCCAAGAAAATAAAGTGTTTCATGTTGACATGGTGGAACAGCAAATCAGGAGTCAAATGAATAAATATATATAAGTGTTCCGTTACAGGACACAAAACACTCACACAGGAATCAAAATGTCACTAGAGTGACTATAGGGACTTTTGATGCTCAACCAGCAGCATTGACCTCTGCAACAATGGACCCTCCAAAAGCCAAAAAGAGATTGGCACTAGTGATCCTAAAGACAATGACAGCAGCATGGTGATGCCAGTCAGGGTTTAACATGATGCAAGTCTGCATGAAGAAAAGCAACAAAGATATTTCTGCTGTGATGATTCAGATACTGAAATAAAAACAAAGATTCTCTGGACAAAGATTGTCCAGTGCTGCACAGACCAGAAGATCACAGAATAGGTCCTTAAAGTCAACTATTTTCTCTAAGCAGGATGTGCAGAGGAGGATGTGATGACTGTGAACATAATCTACAAAGGAGATTAATTACATAAAGTATTAGTATTACTGCTATCACAGCAATAATGGTAAGCAAATATACAGTAAATGTACTGGATTGCACTTGCAAGACATCACTTCATACTTTTGCTCTTTCAGATTTAGTTGATTTTATTGATGCATGGTTGCAATACTGCAGTTTTGTTAGGACATCAACCTAAAATGAGCATTTGCAAGCTTTTACATAGCCTTCTTTTTTATGCATCAAAATGATATGAGGTTTATTAAATATGCATGATCACATCCCAAAAGGAAGGTTTTACATGTGGTCCTGGCAGTGTTCTATAGATATTAAATACATGTCATATCTCAGAATTATTGTGCATTTTATTTTTAAAGGAATTTTTATTTCTGAAATATTATTTATTTTAAATTATGACACAAACAGAATATCAGAGCTCTTTTCTTTCTTAGCAGGGCCCCATCAGCCGCACTTATGGACATAGTATCCTGTCGCGTATCCTATGATGTAAATGGTCACCAGTGCTGCCAAAGCTCCTGCAGCCTTCACTGCAATTCCAGTGGTGCCGAGACACATTCTGTTGTAGATCCTGTGAATGTATCAGAAAGGGAGGCAGAGTCAGGTCAAATAGCTTTTGGTCAACTAACGTCATTCTAACATTATTTTATGACCTGGATTCACTACATTGACACTTTATTAGGCTATTACAAAGATTTCTAGTACATTGGCATTCAAATTAGGGAGATTAAAAAATGTACAAGTATACAAAAAATACAATGATACTATAATAGAATGCTGACAAGTATGTGCAAAAGTTCACAATATGAGCATAAAGCCCAGCTGAGCGTTGTTGTTGCACTTTTATATTTTGTGACTCCATCAAACCCATACATCAGTTAACTCCATACATATCTCAGCATATGGTTTAACCTTCTCAACATCTTATTACAACTCTATCTATTTGCTCCCGAGTAGCATCAAAAAAATTTTAACTGTATATTTGACATTTGGTATCACCTCATCACAGTTGACTGGGGTGGCTCTATGTTCATGTTGATGTTTTCCTCATTCCAGCGTTCATATGGCGCGCTGCCGACACCGTTAGAGTCCATGTGGGAAGACCTTCCTCTCCTTAGAGGTTTATGCTGCCTGGAATCACTGTTCACTCACTGCTCAGCCTGTTCATACACATAAACTTTGACTCAGTGAGGACAAGTTGAGTTGTCTGTGTGCAGCAAAATGTTTGGACCAGTAATGGCCATAAAGGCATCGATTGAATTGGATATAATGTCATTTTATTTAGTAATGATGACCATCAAAGATAATTTACTGAAGCCAATGTGTCAACAAAGGTCTTAATAATCTGCATGCAATGCATCATAATTAAGTGTGCAGGTACAAATTAGTCATGCAAATCAAGAATTTATCCTGTTTAATCTGCCCTGGAGCTAAATCAGACCACATGACTGAATTAATCTAACTCATAAGCAGTGATTTGATGATTGCTACCCAAAGCAGAATTCAGTTTATACCCCCACATTCAAATAAACTTAATGCGCTGCTCACCTGTACGAGTCTGAAACAGTCAACAGCGTGTCTAGAATGCTCTGCTTTCCAGCACTTTTAAAGCCACGTCTGAGAGTCATGCCTCCTGCTTGATATGAGACCATGGGCATAGTTCATGTGTTCACTGAGGTCAGCCTGTCATAAATCCATTGGTTGTACTCCAGTCTTTTAACTTCTTATATGACTATCTCAGTGATAAAGGGCAATTTAAGGTCTGTGTGTCTCCGGTTTGATCACATCCGGAGCCGATACTGGACAGGAAAGAAAAGTACTTACGTGTGAAGATTTTCATGATACTCCCTCTCTTGCATGAAAATGTATTGGTTAAATGCATACTGTTTCAAAGATTTTCTCTTTTCCTTTGTTGCAGAAGATAACTTGTTGCTCTGTTTGTGTTGGAATAACGGCACCCTCTGGTGTTTTTAAATGTAAAGAACTCCAGCAATCTCAGCCATGTTCCAATATCTATTCCATAAATATTGTGTTGAGATAATTCCTTACTCATCATAAAATGTCACATAAAGCACCTTGTGAACAGGAAAACAGTCAGATTTCGTGTGATTTCTGTATGTTGAGACATATTACATTTGCACATTCAGAAGAATTAAATGTACTTTTTATTTATTATAGCTTCATTTAGTTTTAGTAGAAATTACTGTTGCAAGGTATACATTACCTGTTACACCAATGTCAGAGGAAAAGGTTAAATTGGCTTTAGAGCTTAGGTCTTCACAGGACCTGCAGGTTACCCATGGGTTACGCTGCTGCCCCCTCGTGGATAGGTGTCAAACCCATGACCTAGCTCGCTCTGGGTCTGGCGTTTGACAGGGAAGAACGTCACATGAAAAATTATACAGACCTAAAAATAACACTCATATTCAGCATAACATGCACACATCCTGTGAATTACTACAACATCCTGCATCACAGTGGAAACTTACCAGGGTATCCACATAAGATGAGTTATAAGAAATAATCAATCACAAACGTTTTGGCAAATTTGGGATTGAGGCCATCCAGGATTTTTTAACATTAACAA